GAAGGGCAACAGCACATCACTAAAAGTGGGGGCAGGGGAATGACATAGAGGGAGGTATTTTGGTAAAATGACTTTCAGCAGAGAGAAGAATAGATGGGCACTGGGAGAGACCAGCCGTGGGCCTCTGCAGGGTCATCTAGGCTGGAGTCTTCAGCTCTGTTCTTACTCATACCTAAGGCTGTTTTCTCTTTTTGTTCTACTTCTTGCCTTCTTTCTCCTACTCCTGCCAAACTTCCCTAGCCTACACTGCCCCCATTTTCCCTTCTTTCTGATTTATTCTTTTAGTTCTGTGGTAATTACTGTCTGATCCCTAAACTATACTTTTTATATAGTTTCCCAACACTAACAAAATGATACAGTATATAGGTGAACAAGGCTCCTTTCAAGTTAGACAAGAGCAGGACACTTGATGGCCATGGGGCAATGGGTATACATCAAGAGGTATGACTGGGAAAGGCCAGGGGGCGGTGACTGATGTACTTTGCACCCTAAGGACTGATCAGAGGAACGCCTTGTTAATAAGATTGGAGTCATGGGTGGGGGTCAGGAGTATATAATCAGACTCACCCTTCCTAAAGCCCAAAATCCATTATTCAGTTTGACCCACCCTTTTCTCTGTCACTGAAAAGGCCAAGATCTTGCTCTCAGCAGCATCCTACATCCTATAGCCTGCCGCAGGACTCTTCTTTTCTTATCAGTGTGGTGTTGCTAACGCAACAATAATAGTTTATTTTAGAACAACCAAGACTTAGTTACCCAATTACCTGGAATATTTCCTGTTTTGAATTCAACATACAGATCTGTAATATAGTTAATATTTCTGTATTTTTATAAAAAGCTATTTAAGGATTCTAAAAATAATCAGTATCACTTCAACACTTCTCTTTCACAAATTCAATAAAGATCACCAAATGCTCTTGTAATGAAAATTACAATAGCCCCAAGGTTTTGCTTTTTGTTTACAAAATGTCAGGGTTTTACAGTGCTTTATATTAAATAAATAGCATACATTCAAACATACAAGTTTCTCAAAAAATACAAACAATAATACAAGGTTCTCTGATGTTGAATCTACTCAGTGTCATGCCCTCAGGCCAGAAGATGGATAATATGGTCAAAATTCCCTACAGTCAATTTAGGGATTTTTTCTTATTCTATTAACCAGTTGTTGTGGCTTTGTGTAAACCAGGCTAAGGACCTTTTGGTAAGTCATGCTTATTTCTAGCATTCTCAGGCAACCTGTATGCAGAAATAAAACATGTTTTTCATCCATTTTCCCAAAGGCATGTGCATGGTGGTTCAATATATTTGATTCCACTATTTGGTGACAACTAAAACAAAATCAGCAACAAACAAAATTAAACAAAAACAAAACACTCTATATTCAAAATATGGGGAATTTAAACCATAAAAGTGGTTACATAGATAATGGGATCATCATGAAGATCAGAAGACAATGCGTTAACTCAGAGATTAGGAAATAGAAACCTAGTCTTAAGGGTGGAAGACAGGCAGGGTTAACAGAGCCCAGGGCCAGGGTCACCCCAGGGACACTGGAACCGCAACAAGCCTCTCTGGCAGGAGCAGGATCTGTGAAGGAGAAGCTTCTACTACTGCAGATGTGACCCAAGGGAGGATGAAAGAAATTCCTTGGCTCTCCACTCTTCCCATCCTCTTATCTCCTATGCCATCTCCCATTGGTCAAACCTAGCTGTAAGCCAACACAGCCAACATTGCTGTAGAGGCTAGAGTCCTGCTACCCCAGGTGCAGAGCAGAGCAGAAGGATAAGTAATGGAGAAGTAGCTAACGGGCAGGTTCAGCACTATTGATAGATAGGTCAGGGCGTGGAATTGGAGAGAAGTCTTGCTCTCCTAGGTTTGTCCTGACATGCCCTGGACCCCTGATTTTTGTGCCTTCATCAATATTCCCATGGAATTACACAGCCCCTCCCCCTACCGCATGTGAATCTCATTAAAATTCTAGGGTACTTGCTATTTCCTGTTACCAGGTCCGACCAAAGGTGTGAAGTAATATATTACGTGGAATGCCCAGACAGTAAAATTCTTTGCAGACTATGACAGGAGATTGACAGAACCTTAAAATGCAATATCAGACAAAGCAAATGGCTTTTGATTGTCGTTGTTAGTTACTAAGGGAAATATCTATATATGCAGTAGAAAAGATGCCAGGAGCTGTTTTGATTTACTTGAGGCCTACATCTCCTGGCATCTGGCTACATGTTTAGATCCACATGTTACAAATTAGCTACAATTGTAGTCACCACCTGGTAAAGCTTACAATAATTCACAGAGATTAATTCTCATTCTCCAACATGCATCCAGTTTTTGCACTAAACAGATATATGGACTAGAGATGCATGAGCAGTTAGCTATATATTTCAAGTCTCTGATACTGGCACCAATCTTGGGGAGGCAATATTGCTTTGGTTTGTGATTTGGGTAAGGCAGTTCCTAGAGCTTCAGTTGGCCTTAATAACTCTCACTTATGGGTCAAGGATTCAATATGGAGATTCTGCCAATTATGTCTCCAATAACTATTGATTGAGAAAATATGGTCCCAAACCCACTATTCATTCAACAACAATTTTAAATAAATTTCCATCTTACTAATCACAGTGTCATCTAGACACTTACTTAAAAAAAACAGCTCTCCCATTTGTGGAATCATAGTGGGAGTATCTCATATATATATATATATATCTCATATATATATGATATATATAATGTAGAATCATATATATACACATATAATGTGTATATATATATGTAGAATCATATATATACACATAATGTAGAATCATATATATACACATATATCTCACAAATTTGGTGACTTAAAAGGAACACAAATGTATTGTCTTGCATTTCTGGAGGTTAGAAGTCTAAAATAGGTATTATGGGACAATTGCAAGCTTTTTGTAGGCATGTGTTCCTTCTGGAGGTTCTAGGGGAAATTTTGTATCTTTGTCTTTTCCATCTCCTAGAAGCCTCCCTCATTCTTTGGCATTCATATCCTTCCAACCTCTGCTTCTGTCCTGACATGTCCTCTTCTGCCTTCCACTCTCTTCTAAGGACCCTTGTGATTGCATTGGGTCTACCTGAGTAATACGGAATCGTCTCCCCATTTTAAGAGCTTACTTTAATCACACCTGCAAAGTGCCTTTTGCCAAGCAAGGTAACGTATGCCTGGACTTTGAAGATTAGAATATGAGACTTATTTTGGGGAGGGATATTATTCTGTCCTCCACAAGCTGACAAAGTAGAATTAAAAGACAAAGTGGCAAAAGTGGGAGAGACATAGGAAAGACAGCACATATCACGAGGGAAGAATGAGTCAAAGACTAGAAAAATTTAAAGACAAATATAAACTGTATTTAAATGACTTATCATTTATATCACTCACGTCTATGGCTTCCTCAGCTGCTATGGGTTATTAAGAACTGGTGCTGACAGTTTTATTACAATAAAGCTGCCATTTGTGTGCATTCATCATCCCACTTAACTGAGATTTGAACCCCGGTCTACCATCCACCAGTCCCAGGTACTTACTTCCAGCTTCAATGGCCTTCCTATGAGGAAAACTAGTCTCTCTTCATACAATTTCAAGTTGCTCTCCTGTGTCACTGAACACCAGTAAGCATCTAAAAGAATCTGTTTCCAAAGCAAACAACATTTCAGCAGAAATCAATAAGAGCACTTAGGAGATTCTTGTTAAAAACAGAAGGGTCCTTTTAATTGGCTTTATGCAATCAAACCACACGATGAATTTAAGGAAAACTTTAGAGCATATGGCATTCTGATGTCTTCAAAGTATGCTTTGATGGGACTGCAGTGAACATGAAGAGGAGGTATGATTTAAAAGAAAGCTGTTGGAGTATTGTGTTGCAAATAAAATCTAAGAAGGCACTTAGCAATTCACTTTTCTGTTTCTATTTTTTTCATCGTGTTTTATTGCTGTGTTCATTTCCAAACACTACAACTGTTCCTGCCAGTTTTACATTCTAAATTCTAACTCCATCCTGTTCTCTCCAAGAATCTGACACTTGCCTCTCCTGGTGTACAAGAAAGAAGGAATGTCACAGCTGAGCTGCGGAGGGGGTGGGAGGGAGGCTGGCACTAAAGGGAAGGTATCACAGACTCTCATCTTTATCCATCATCTCTTGTGTAAATGTCCGCTTTTGGATAAAATGACCTCTAATTTCTTGCAGTCAGTCCTCTAAGTTTATGGCCCTGGCAGGATTGTGTTTAACTCTGGTTTGGAATCAACAAACTCTATCCCTGTCTGTGTCCAGTTGTTTGTTACAGTGACAGTGATATAAACTGAAAGAGAAATGGAGTGTATGTGTGGTGGTGGTAGTGGTAGAGGCTTTTAAGTTACTTGTATTTAGGTTGTTGATCACTAACCAGCTAGAGCTGTCCTCACACACCCAGGGGCAGGAATGCCTTGGTACAAGGGAGAGAGGCAGAGGGGAGAGAGGGGGCAGAAGGGACAGAGAGAGCCCCCAAGGGGAAGACAACTCCGGAGTGTTGCAGTCCTCCCTGGGGACCTCGGTTTGGAGCTACAGAGACGTTGCTTTCCAAAGTGAGGTCTGAGGACCAGCAACAAAACATCACCTAGGAGTCAGAGAATCTCACCCCTCCTAGACCTTCAAGTTCAGCTTCTGCCTATTAAAGAGACTGCCAAATAATTCACATGCACATTAAAGTTAGGCGCCTTTACTTAAGAGTGGTCACCAAGCCTACCCTGTCCCTAAGGGTCAGGCCCTGAATTAGCCGAGTGTCCACTGTCCCATTACAGGAGGGGGTGGAAGCCCCTGCCACTCCTTCCCACTAAATAGCCAGAGATCCGACCCGACGAGTGCACAGCCGCTTCCCCTGCAGTCCGCACCCCTTCCGTGCAGCTTTTCCCCAAGAGTTGGCGACTTCAACTCTTCCCCCCCAGCCCCTCACCCCCGCGCAGCAGTTTCGCTGAGCCTTAGGCTCGGGAGATAAAGCCAGACGGAACCACCAAGCGCTCCCAGCGCTTCTCTCGCCTGGCTGCTGCGCCCCAGCGAACGCACTCCCCGCCCCGCGGCGTTGGCGCGGAGATCGGGGTCCGCACACTGTCCCCTCCACAGGCCATGGGGCGTCTGGCGCTCATTCTGCTCCTGCCACAGGTGCTGGCCACGCTGGGCGGCCTCGGGGGCTCCCGGGTCGGTGAGTGGGGTACCAAGGGAAGGGATCACAAAGGGTGGAGGGGCCTCAGGGCTGCTGGGGGCTGCTGAGAGCTGGTGAGCTTGGGGCATTCTCGCTTCCCCGGTGACTTACCTAGAAGGGCGAGGCTGGGCCTTCTGGAGTGGCACCAGGTGCCTTTACAAAACTGCCTGTGGATGGGAGGGTAGGGGCTCAGTGAGGAATTTGGTGCTTTCTCCCCATCTGATCCCCGAACAGGCTAGAAAGGGAGCTCTCCTCATACCTGGTGCACTCTCTCTCCTGGCCTCTACAGTACCCTAGTCAGGCACCAGTAGGATTTGCTTTCTAGTCCTGGTCTCAGATGGTCTGTCCAACAGTGTTCACCAGGAAGTGAGCTGGCCTCTTGGAGGCCCAGGTGCCTCGTTCCAGACTCTCATAATAATCAAGAAGTGGAAGAGGCCTCCACTGAGGTGCAGGTTGGAAGCAACTTCTTGTTGCCCTTGTTGCTACCCTCAGGGTTAAGGAGACCCCAAGGAGGCAGGTGTGGGAGGTACCCAATGTCGTGGTACCCTGGTCTGCACACTTGAGGGTCTCTTCTGACAGGTGCCGCTCTCTAAGGTTTTAAATCATTTTAGCTTAGGCGGACCCTTGCTTGTTAAGTGGTTGGGAGTAGGTGCCACTTACCAACTGAATTGTCTTCCAGGAGGGATTCTAACCCTCAGGACTTGGTCTGACCTGGTGCAGCATCTCAGCTGTGACAGTAAGCACTTGTTCTGGGTGGTCTTTTCGCACCACGCCAGCAACAGGAGTTAAAATTACTCTTTTTTTTTTTGGTTTGTGTTTTATTAAGCGGCGGTTTTTAGTGCCTTCTGGCACTCTTTGCAATGTCTGTTTTAGAACAGCATGTGATCCTTGTACTTTGTATATTGACAGACTGAGAGCTACCATAAATTTAATACATAAATAAATGTGCCCCATTTGCAGATACTGTGTAGGATTTGTGCTCATGTTTGACAGATTGAGATTCATCAGATAAAAAAATAATTGTTGAAGGAATGTGACTTTGAGCGCTGACTGTGACCCTTATTGGGATTCTTCTAGAAGTATCTGCTGGAAGAGACAGCAAGAGAGTTACCACTTTATATGCATTTTTATGTGGTGGGTACTGTGTCAACGGGATTTGTGCTCATTTAATCTTTGAATCCTCACTTATTTTCTAGTCTCATTTTATACAAGAAGACAGGCCCAGAGAGAGGAGGTGACTCCCAAGGTCATGTTGTTTGTTGTAAGTGGTCTAACGAAAACGCCAGCCTGTGTAGCCTGTCTGAGCCTGTGCTCCATGTTAGTAGGTGCTAATATAAATGCTCTCAACTTCAAGTTAAGTGCATTTCTGGGATGGTATGTGAGTAGATTTCTGGCAAAGTTGTTATCTATTTACTCGTAACCAATACTTCCTGAATATTTTACTTATAGTGCTTATTATAAGCCAACCTTTTAAAATCAAACATCGAGTAACTATTCTAAAAATACCATCTTGGTGGGATACAAGACTAAGACGTGATCTTTACCAAAGAAGGTGTAGTCTGTGTAATGTCACCGTCAACTTCTATGACAAAGCCTTGTACATGGCTTTCCATTCCTTACACTCATGTTCTCTCTGGAAGTGGGACTTGCTGAGGCTTTACTGCATCTTGCAGAGACTCTCACTAGCACAGACCACATAGCTTATGTTTTCTAGGAGCTAAGGACTGGCCTTTTCTCTTTGAAAGTTAGGACTATATGATAAGTTAAATGCACAATAGGCTTATTTTGGACCATTAAACATTTAAGGTTAAGGGACATATGTTCATGAGATAAGTAAATAGATAATATAAGTTAATGTCTTGTAAGTAGCTGAAAACTTACAATTACTTGCAACCAGGCTATTAGAAGTATTTTTATAATCTATAGGATCCAAAACCCTAATCAGTTTTTAGGATGTAGCTTTCTAAGTCTAAAAGTAAACTAGATTCAAGTTCTTTGAACCTAGACTTCTAACTTAAAACTCTTCATACTGAGTCTTTGAGACAGAGCCAGAACTGGAAAAGTATTCCTGCCTCTTTCACACAAGTGTGAGTCCACCCCATTTTACTAGGAAAACAGGGAAGCAAGAGCCAAGACCCCATCAACAGCTTCACAGGGCTAGAAAGAAGGGTTCCCTAGGGTCATCACTAGAGAATGCATTAGGGTGTTTAGGATACTGGATCCCCCTTGTGTTCTCCTGGGGGTTAGGTGGGAAGGCAGGCTTTGCAAAATTACCTTTGGTTGCAGCTTATCCTGAAAAGATGTTCTCTTGAGTACCAGAGTGAGCCAAGAATTCTCATGGCTTGATTTCTTGGTCATTCCATGCAGATGAAGCAAAGTGTAACAGGACCAGGCAAGCTATGTGTGGTGAGAAATGCATCCCTGTGACCTGGCTCTGCAATGGAGAGCAAGAGTGTCCCGATGGGACTGATGAGCAGTGTGGTAAGTGAGCTCTTCTCACTACTGCATCATGCGCTACCTATACAGGATCCTTAGTGCAATGTGCGTGGCCAGCAGTGTCCATTCTCGTGAATACCCATTAAGGGGTATTCAGAAATATTAGGTGCTCTGGGTTTTTGCAGGATCTCAGTGGACAAGACCACGGATGCTTAAGTATAGGTAACACCGTTAAGACAAGTGGGGCAGGCTAGTTAATATGGAAAATTCAGCAAAAGGCTGATTCCTCCCTTGAATAGGCTTAAACATCTATGTGATATCACTCAAACTTGAATAATACAGAGATTCTTCGTATGAAATCCTTGCAGACCCCAGTGCATACAACTTTCTGTATACAATAAACCAGTTCAACCTTCACAGGCTTAGAGATCTACAACTAAACACAGCTTTCAAGTTAAGCACAGCTTTCAACTTAAGCACAAAAACCTACACAACCAGCGAACCAAAAAGTCCTATCATTCTCATAAAGACAGGTTTGCCATTTGGTACATGTCTTGTTAAACAAATCTCAAGAACTTCTGTGCTAAAAGGCTCAGAGTCCCAGAAGAGGCCTCTGAGCACCCGCATATGTGAGCTTCTTAAACCAGATTCCTCACATCCTTGTGCTATGCATATGGAAAAGATATTTTCTCCTTAAAGGAGAAAAACCCCTCCTCGGTGAGTGCTGTTTGTTTACCCCACATGCACATTCTTGGGGTATCAATTACTATGACATAAATTTACACGATCCATTTGATATTAAACATGTAATATTGACAGTCACACATGTCATGTTACAGGTTAGAAAATAATTCCTTGTGCTCTGCCCCCGTGCACTTCACCAGCTTCCCATGATTGTGGCCTTCTGCTTGTAGGCATACTTAGCTGGAAATTTTAAGGTCTAATTAAAAACGAATTGCTCCCAGGTTCTTGAACATTCCCATCGTCTCAAATACCAAAAGAATTCAAGGAAGTAAACCTATGAATCTACACTGTTCTACACAGTGGCTGCTGGCCATATGTAAGGATTTAAATTTATTTAAACACCTAAAATAATAATATTCAATCCTTCTGTCATACTAGTCACATCTCAGTGTTCAAGAACCAGTGGCCACCATTTGGGATGAACAGAATTAAAATTCTTCCATTTTCACAGAAACTTTTATTGGACAACCGTGCCCTGTAAAATGGTGGGCGTCGTCGGAGGGTGGGAGGGGGTCCTGTGTGATGCTGTCAGGGGTCACATGACAAGAACAGGCACGTTTAGGGTGGACTCTAGAAGCAAAGCAGAATTAATTATTCCTTTGCTAATGAAAATGCTTAATATGAAACCCAAATTTAAAAGCTGTTAGATTCCTGACAAGCACCTTCCTTTTTGTATCTTCTTGAATGCCGCCGCCCCTGGCCCGCAGAGGAAGCATGCCGAGGGCACCCCGGGCTTGGCAGTGTGACGACGGCAGGTGTATTCCTACTAGCTGGCTTTGTGACGGTGCTGGCGACTGCCTGGATGGTTCCGACGAGGTTCACTGTGGCACGTACAGCTTGTTATCTTTAGTCCTATTCTGTTAGTTAAAAGCGTTGACTCATAATCACAGTATTAAGGGAACAAGCAAGCCTTCTACCACATAGGCTCAACCCAGGTGTTAAGTTTTCCCTGGTATTATAGATGACTTTTTTTTACCCACTAACTTATTTTTAGAAAATTACCTGAAATAGGCCTCCCCAGTGGTGCAGCCGGTTAAGCGCAGTGCTGTGAAGCTGTCCCCAGCCTCTGCTGTGCAGGTTCAATTCCCGGCCGGCCACGGAGACGCCCACATGGCGCAGCAGATCTCTCCTGTCTCGCCCGCTGCTCCCCTCAGCAGTGCCTTTGGTCCATCTGCCTGTCCTGCTCCAGGCTCTGTCTCTGGTGAATCCTCTCACCCTCCCATTCCTCTGGCCTGTATCCCAGTTCTTGTACAAATAAATATATCTTTTTAAAAAAAAGGAAAGAAAATTACCTGAAATAAAAAGATTATTAGCTTTATTGATTCTATTTAAAAACATTTTTAGGATGAAATTTCAATATACAAAATTGTATATTGTACATCTCCATGGCTACTGTCTTTCTCAATTCTTGTTTTTTTATAGACAGAGCTCATGAGCAAGCCATTCATGCCTAAATAAGTCTGTAGCATAGCACTTCCACCTCACTGAGCCAATTCCTGCCTTTTAGAGGTACTGACAGCCTGTCCTGGCCAAAAAATCCAGTGTCCGGGAAGTTCTCTGTGCCGTGATGCTCGGGAGCTCTGTGATGCCCCTGAGGACTGTGAAGAGGGTTCTTATGAAGGCCGCTGTCCCCAGAGCCACTGCCTACCTGGGCAATGGCAGTGCAAGAACAGGGTGTGTGTGGCAGACGGCTGGAAGTGTGATGGCACCAACAACTGCGGGGACTCCTCCGATGAGGACGTCTGTGGTGAGTTTTGTTCCTTGTTTCCTTTTAAGGGAAAGGTGCACTGTGTGGGCTGCTTTTTGCAAGTTGGATTTTAATTCCTATGACTAAGACTGTCATCCTGTATCTAAAAACAGGATGTTTCCTCACAATAACCAAAATTTAGTCAATCATGGAAATATAGAGCAATGTTGCATAGTAGCTGCAAAGTATACACTATGCACTGCCTAGATTGTTTCCACCAGTCAATTTGGCCGGTGCAGACAAAACCTGAGCATCCAGATGGGAGGAGGCCTCCTAACAGGTGCCCTTAGCCTTGTGTAGTGAATACAGAGGGGGAAGTTCCTCACTGAAGAAGGAAAACCCCCCAAAGAACTTGGTGGGTGCTCTATGCCTTTTTTCCTAGCCACATACACATAACATAATGGACCCTCCAACAATCCGATTCAATATTTCTAGAGTTGAATCTACAGTATTTAATATATTCAGAGTCTGACATTTTTAAAATAAACTGGTTTCTTAAGCAAATATTTCTTTTAGGATTGTTTTGTTGACTTTAAAACCATTTCAATTAGAACTACTTAATATCAACTCACTTTAATTTGATTATTTCAATCTGATGTTCAGATGTCTTAAGGCTTGATAACAAAGATGTTAAGTTCCCAATTCTCTTAAAACTGCTTACAAAGGGCCCCCCTGGTGGCCTAGGGGCTAAGTCTCAGGGCTATCATGACTGATAAGGTCTGAGACTTATCCCCAGCCAGGGAGCTAACTCACATGTGGTGCAGCAGACCTCTCCTGTCTCCCCCGCTGCTCCCCTTAGCAGTGTATTTCAGTAAATCCGCCTGTTCTGCACCCCACTCTGACTCTGGTGAATCCTCTCACCCCCAGCACATCTGGCCTACAGTCCACTTCTTTTTTTTTTTTTAAAGATTTATTTATTTATTTATTTATTTATTTATACAAGCACTGGGTACAGTCAGAAGCATGGGAGGGTGAGAGAATTCACCAGAGCGGGGAATAAGACAGGCAGACTGGTGAAATACACTGCTGAGGGGAGCAGCGGGCACAGCAGGAGAGGTCTGTCGCACCATGTGGGACCCTCGCCGGTGGCCCTGGGATCAAACTGGTGCTGCAGAGGCCTCAGGCAGCTTCGTAGCCCAGTGCTCAACTGCTGCGCCACCAGGGGAGGCCCTACAGTGCAGTTCTTCTATGCAAAAATAAATAAATAAAATATTTTAAAAGATTGGGTTAAAAAAAAAAACCTGCTTACAAAGATAGAACTTGCTTCCCTACCTAGATTTACTTTGGTTTGTAGAAATATTACCAGCTTACCTGCCTGGTGTAAGAGATGTCTATTCCCACTCTCCCCACTCCCCAACACAAATATTGATGAAAAAGAATGCTTAACTTCCTCCACAGCTTTCTGTCCAGAAGGCATGGTTAGATGTGATGAAGGAAATGCATCCTAGAATCCCTGATGTGTGATGGGAAAGCAGACTGTACAGATGGCACTGATGAACCCACTACATGTGGTAAGAAACCAGTCTCTTGGTTTAAAGCAGGAGGAGATAAAGTCTGAATAGCTCAATGAGCAAATGTCTCCATTAATCAATATGGCCAGTGCATAGGGGTCTACTCTGAGAGAATGCTAGGACCAACTCTTGTAGACAAGCAGTTATTTTTCAGTGATGGATCCCTTACATACGACAAATTGCAGTTCCTGGCATTGGTCTCCTGAGTGTGTATAAATGTTAACTGAGCTATAAAACTTTAAGAGTTGCTCAAATGTTATAGCTTTAGAGAAATAGACTAGCTAAACAACACAATCTATATTGTTCTAAGATTGTGGAATAAAGAACTCAAATTTTGCCACTGAGAATCGTTTGCAAAGACAAAATAGTGAAATCTCCCAGGATTTAGCAGAGAAAGGACTTGGGAAGACTTTCCTGGAGAGAAGGGAGTCTACTGAGCCAGCAGCCCCAATCCTGAATCCTGTAATTCGCACTGTAAAGATCACAGTTGGTTCCAGTTGAAACAGAGGGAGAGTGGGCATCTGTCCCCAAGTCATTTTTCATCTTGTCTTTTAACTTCCTCCCTAAATCTGATCTTTATATATGTGCTGTGAAACCCTCCAGTGTTGTTAAAGACCAAAAGAAGCTTTTCGTCAAAGGAATGCAAATAAGAAATGCTAAAAGCTAAGAAATGGTAGAAAGTATGGGTTTCTGAACTGTGTTCTTGGATTAGTAAATTGTATCATTTTCTGAGGGGAGGGTCTAAACCATCCATAGATTCTAGAGAAAATAGTGAAGAGGTTGCTGGTTTTTCCATGACTGAATAACACACCCACACCTGGAATTGTCCAGAATGTTAGCCTAAAAAGAAATGGCTTCCCCTACTCCATGATGCCAACCTTTCCTTCTAGTGCAGTCTTCCCCCAGTGCCTCATGTTCCTAGGGAAGAGGGCAGTGTCAAAAGTTATGCATACCCAGACATCTGTTGCTCACTTGAATGTAGATAGTTCTGATACAATACAGTTTATAAAATGTTTGATCTTTCACCTCTTTTACCTGTACTCACCATTGCCCTGTCTCTCCCAGGTAAAAACTGCTCTAAAATTAATGGGGGCTGCACCGGGCAGTGCAGTGACACAACCTGGGGTGTCCGGTGTTCCTGTGGACCTGGTTGGCAATTACAGCAAGATGGTCAGAACTGTGGAGGTCAGAACATTTTGGTTTATCTTTTAAAGACATTTTTATTTTCATATAATATAATATCTTCATAATATAAAATTTGCCATTTTTAAGTGTGTAAATCAGTGGCATCAACTGCATTTGCAATGTTGTGCAACCTTCACCACTATGCATTCCAGAGCTCTTTCATCATCTGCAACAGAAACTCTGTTCCCATGAAGTGATAACTTCCCATTCTCTCCTTCCTGCTAACCTCTATTGACTTTTTGTATCTATGAATTTGCCTTTTCCATTACTGCATATAAGTGGAATCCCATAGTTATTTTCCTTTTGTGTCTGGCTTTTTTCACTTAGCATGTCTTTAAGGTTCATGTTGTAACTTGTATCAGAATTTCCCTCCTTTTTAAAGGCCAAGTGATATTGCTTTGTGTATATATATATGCTACATCTTGTTTATCCATTTACCTGTTCAGGGACACTTAGGTTGTTTTGGCTCTCACAGGTAATGCCATTATGAACATTGGTATTTAAGTGTGTTCGATTGCCTACTTTCAGTTCTCTTGCATATATATACCACAAGTGAAATTGCTGGATCAGGGCCTGCATGGTGGCACAAGGTGTTAAGTCTCAGCACTACCAAGCTATTGCCAGCCACTGCAGCATGAGTTCAATCCCCCAGCAGGGGAGCTGACCCACATGGTGCAGCAGACCTCTCCTTTCCTGCTCACTGCTCTCCTCAGCAGTGTATTTCAGTAAATCTGCCTGTTCTGCTCCCCACTCTGTCTCTGGTGAATCCTCTCAACCCCCACACCTCTGGCCTACACCCTAGCTCTTGTATGCACAAATAAATAAATCTTTTTTTTTTAAAGAAACTTCTGGGTCATATAGTAAGTTCTGTTTAAACATTTACCCAATGCTGCACCCTTTAACATTTCCACCAGCAATATGCAAGGTTCCAATTGCTCCACATTCTTGCCAAGAATTCTCCACATTCTCCACTTGTCATCATCCTCTTTTATGGGCAGTGTAGGTCAATGTCGACTAATGAGGAAATGAATTTAACATGTTTTATAGAATTTCAGGGTTGGAATAAATGGTCTTGGAATAAATAGTTACTTCGTGGCCACACCTGAGGTCTATGGCATGATTGGTTGGATAGATTCTGAAATTAGAGTCCACTATACATTTGGCTAGCTGAATTCCTTTGTCATTGAATCCTAAGTCTTATTTCTCCCCTTTGTAAGATGGGATTATAATGCCAGAATAGCAAAAATAAATTTCATATGTCCTTCATATATTGTCTAATAATCTGAAAGTGTTATGGCTGTTATTTTGTAGTACTGATCCCCCAAATAGGGGTTGCCATTTGGGGCAACCCCAGTTCTTATATGAATAAATAAATAAATCTTTAAAAAAAATCATCAAGAATTGTAATGAGCTATTTTGGATAAGGCAATTAAACTTATTATTTCATTAAAAAATCTAAAATCAGTATCTGTTTATAATCTTTTAGGGGCCTGGCTTCAGTTTGTCCCTCCTCTTCTAGAGTCTGCTGCATCCTTCATGGTTTATGGCCCATTGTGGGGCATGTGGGCCACTGAGTTTGACTTATAAACACATCCTGATATTCTCCTGGGCTGGAAAGGGAATATTCTACTTTAGAAGCCCATGGTTTAGGAGAAATAATGGTTTTTCTGGCTATGCCCCCAAGGAACCATATTCCTTCCTGCTTAAAAAACCAAACCAAACCAAGCCAAAATAAACTTCCTAGTCCCCATGATTCACACTTTATTTTTTACTTTTTGTTTTTCACTAAATAAATGTTTGTGTGCTACCTTGTGGCAGGTAGTATCCTGGGAAGATATTCACAACATATTAACAGTGGTTAACTCTGGGGTGCCACATTTTTTCCTTATGCCATTGATATAATAACTCTTTTCCTTTAACTGTAAACACTAAAAGTGTTTATCAGTTATGCTAGAGAATCTAACTTCTCCTCATATTTCATTTTTTCTCAACTTTAACTAAATTCTTACACATAGTTTTGGCTCTTTTTCCCAGTTCTTCTCTATTTTCATTTCTCCACCCTCTTCACTTATACCCTTTGACCTTTCCTCCTTCCCCCAGCCCAGAAACCTCATATCTTTTACTAGTGGCTGCTAGTTTTTATAAGTATATTGCTTTATCAAATCATCTACTATATGTGTCCAAAATTTGACTTTGTAATTGTGACTTGTTTACTAGACATAATTGTGAACTCCATTTTGCTGTCTGTAAATGGCAACATTTTTTTCTTTCCTTATGGCTGCATGGTATTCCATGGTGTGGACATACTGCATCTTGATTCAGTCCTTTGTCACTGGGCACTTAGATTGTTTCCAAGTCCTAGCAATTGTAAATAATGCTGCTGTAAACATTGCAGAGCATATAAATTTTTGAACTAGTAGTTTCATGTTCTTTGGAAAAATGCCCAAGAATGGGATTGCTAGGTTGTATGGTACTTCCATTTATAGTATTTTAAGGTAAATCTGAATCACCTCCCAAAATGGCCATACCAGTTTACATTGCCACCAGCAGTACAGTTCCTCTTCCTCAACATCCTCTCTAGCACTTGTTATTGGGGGATGTTTTAATTTATATGTACCTTTCTCATGGGTGTGAGATGATTAACTCATTATGGTTTTTACTGGCATATTTGTTATTAAAAGTGATGATGAACTTCTTTACATGTGTCTATTGGTGAACTGTCTAATCAGCTCTGCTTTCCATTTATTAATTCTGGTGTATAGCTTTTCATTGTTAAATTTTATAAAGTTTTATGTATCTTGGATAATACCCACTCTTGGTTGTGAATATGTAAATATTTTCTCTCATTTAGTGGAATGTCTTTTAAATATAATTATATGTATTTTATGCTTTTTTATTTCCCTTAACATAGAGGTCAAAGCTACAAAAATATCTTTATCATTGGTACTGTGATACGTATGGATGTTTTCTTCTCTATATTTTATTATTGTAGATCTTATATCTAAGTCTTTAATTCATTTTGAATTTAATTTGCGCATGGAGTTAGAGAGTAATTCAACTTCATTCCTTCACTTGTGGCCATACAGGTTTCCCATTACAGTTTCTATCATTTGTTAGAAACTCTAATTTCCCCACTGTATGGTCATAACTTCTTTATCTTTAATTATTGATATAAACGTCAATGTTCATACTTTAAAGGATCCCTCCCAAACAACTTTGAGAAGTTACAGTGCCTTACCTAAATTCTGCAGTTATACCTGTGAGTTTTAAGATTGTTTTATCATCTTAGATGAGAGATCATATGGCACATTCATGAACTCTAGGCCCTAATGTTTGTCATACTGAATTAGATTCTGACTGGCTTGACAAGTGACACATCCCCAGAAGGTTGCTAGGGTAATAGATCAGTATTCTGTGCCAAGCATGCATTTAGGGTCCCTCTGTTGACCTTTCTGCTAAAATAATTGATGTCCATGGGAATTATGTGGAGATAGGGGTTGTATAGTTCAGGAGCTGACACAGAGATTTCCACATTACACATGTCCACTGAGCATCCAAAAAGTAGCTCAAAAGAACAAAAAGTCTCGAGAGTATTCCTGGGTTTTCTCTAATTTTTGATTCTCTATCTATCACCAGATGTAGATGAGTGCTCTATGGCATACAGTCCTTGTGGTCAACTATGTCATAACACACCAGGCTCATACTCCTGCGAGTGTGTTCAAGGTTACCAGCTCTACAATGGCACTGACTGTCAAGTTACAGGTAAGTTTCAGTATCTAAAGCAATGCCTAAATCCTCCTCTGTTCTTAGTAATTAAGATAAAAGTATATAAATGATTCATTTTAAGGTCTAATATTAGACATGATTTGCTTTATTCTTTCTTTAAACTAGGTACAATCACATTCTTTGGCCAATCATGTCAGTTGCCATCAAGTATGACTTAGTTATTCTGTAGGCCATAGAACTAGATGTTTGGGACATCTAATCAAAGCATCTTAACTTGGCCTGTGTTTCTTTAGCACTTGGACACTTAATCATTCTTGGCTACTATGTACCAGGCTACTATGATATTGACCCCAACTGAAGTCACAGTTTCTTGGATTCCTTGGTTATGTCTTGGTGTGAAGAAGGGCTGAATCAGAAATCAAATAAGATGGTAAAGTTCCAAAGATTAGTTTCAGTTCTCTGGAGTTCAGAGGGAAGAAATAAGTAAAATGTAAGGTAGTTACTTAGATTTCTCCTGTATGAACCTTGCTTCAGTTTTCAGGGATAAGTAGATTTTGTCATGGGAGAGGGGGCAAAATCTTAAAGAGAAGGGTGTGAAAATATGTTTCAAATTAATATCACTTCTTCTACTTCTATTACAGATGATGCTGTTAAAATTCTTACAGCAGCAGATGGAGAACTTGGTGTCCTGAATCACAGAACAGGCATCTATGAGACTCTGTTACCTATAAAATCAAAGCCTACATCTATTGCATATGATCTTGAGAGAAGCATGTACTTCTGGGTGGATGAAGTTTTAAATATGTTTGTTCTTGGGAAGCTGAAATCTGTTCCCCTCTATCCAGGTATGTTTCTTGGCATTAAGAGACTTAGCATTCTAAAGCTATTTAAATGTGGGATCATAAGCATATGCATTCATTTGAGCATCATCTGTGATTCACTTGTCACGAATCCTAAGTGTTCGTAAAATCCAGATTTGAAATAAGACGATGTAGTTTTGGTCTATAGGAACTTTAGAGTATAATATGAGAATGCAACCAATATTAGGATATACTGAAAGCTTGACTATATGGGCTCAAAAACCAGGTCTAAGTCCGATGACTAAGTATGTGACTTTGGGTATATTAACTCCTCTGATACCTCTGGAAATCCTCTGATAGAAATTAAGAGGTAGAGTTCATAATAATTCACCTGAGGCTTCTATGATATTGACCCCAACTGAAGTCACAGTTTCTTGGATTCCTTGGTTATGCTCTGCTAATGCCTTTGTCTTTCCCTACTGTCCACTATATATTGTAAGCACATTAGCACATCTCTGATCCGCATTCCCTGTGTTCTATTTGTCTTATCATAACACTTGAAATCAGAAGATGTCCAGTTCCAAAGAAAGTTATATTGAGTCTCTTTTTTCAAGGTAAGAAACGTGTAGAAGAATATAGGGACATAATGCTGTCTCCTGTGTTCCAGAGCTTAGAGCAGTGAACAGTATCTCCTTGGACTGGTTCACAGGACAGCTGTACTGGGCTAGCAGCTTTGCAAGGGTCATCTGTGCTGGCTTAAGTGATGGCAGAGGTTATGTCAAAATCTTGGAAAAGGATCTTGTTCCACAACAGCTAATAGTGTTTCCTGCAAGGAAGTAAGTATTGTTTCTTTTGGAGTATATCCAAAAGCATTGGTTATCTTATTAAAGGTTTTAGATGAGAACACATCAAACTTTTCTACCCAGGTCTCATTTACTCCAGAAAATTCTTAATTTTGAAGTCTAAATTCAGTATTATGGAGTCAGGGAGACTTTCCCCCCCCCAAAAAAAAAGTCTAGGAGCATACATCTCCAGCATTCTTTGAAGTGCAATAATAAAAGGTCTGCATGAGAGAGCTGAGGGAGCCTGCTGTTCAGAAAATTGTACATGTACCTGAGAGGGTTCTTTAACACCTTGTACTTTTGCTGTTCTTAGGTACTTGTACTGGGTGAATCAAGGTGAGAGGGACATGAGGACTATTGAAACTGCAGGGATGGATGGCTCTGATAGGAAGGTGCTTGCAGTTGTAACCATGGAGGAGCCGATAGGATTAAGTCTTGACCATGTGACTGACAGGCTCTACTGGATCAGCAAATATAAAAAGGTAACCTAGATACAGAGGATTATGTAGGTCCCAAGAAAAAAGGAAACCCATTGAGCAAGGGCTTGGTATGACTATAGGCAATAGTAAGTTCTTTTAAGTATTGCATTAACTCACTGAAGTATGTTCTAGCTATGAAAACAGAGAAGAGCAAGGTATAATTACACAGTATCTTTAGGTTAAGTTAGATGGTATCAGTTTTCTTAAATATTCTATAGTCAAATTTAGCACTGGAATTTCCTGGTAGTATTATGTGCTATCTTGTATCCATGGTACAAAACCTTTCAAAATGGCAGACCACTTCATTGAAAGCACAGGTACTTCCGTGTCTTGTATTTACATTAGAGTTCATGTTATCTCATTTGAAATTGTTTCAAACTAAAAGACCAGTAGAAAACACTGGTTGAAAGCCTGGTTTTGGGAGTTATATTTTTATTTCTTGCTAGCTTTGATTTTGGTTATGATACCTCTTTGAAAAGAAATAAAATATGTATGACAAAAGGCAATTGGAGAATGCAATGAAAGGATTTGGTAAAATGTTTAGATGGTGGCCAGTAATCTCTAGAAGTTACTTGGTATAACATATCACTAATTTGTCCAAGAAGTGGTCCAATTTACTAGCTTTGACATTCTTTTCTATGAGTCCTAAGATGAGTTTCTCTATTCAGTTGATATCACCTAAAAATGTTTATAATTAGTGTCCCAGAAACTAAAGAGCACTAATATTGTTGCCACCTCTTCATGCTATCATGTTCTCATGAGACTTTCTACCCCTTCAGTCCATAGAGACAGTAAAGGTGGACGGCAGGGGGAGGCATACCTTCCCTGAGGTCTTCTTGGAGGATGAACATCCACTGGGACTAGTCGTATTTGAGAACTCTTTCTTCTGGGCAAATAAAATACAGCTGTTCCATACTTCACCCCGCACCCCACAAGAGAGAGTGGTGCTGCTTAATGCCTCCATATCTGCTTTCTTGGTCCTCCACAAATCCCAGCAGCCAAAGAGTAAGTAAACAGCTTGCTTTTCACATGCTTATTTATGAATCAGCCTGCATACTACATTGAAACTACCTAAATTACTACTGTAATCTCTTATTGGAACATCTCTTTTGAGATAAGGGAGGTGTTCTGGATAGCATTCCAGACCTATACGAGATTGCTAAGTAGAAGAACGGAATAAAAACATCGACTGGGACACTCATTCCAACCATGTACCTTGTACTTGTCCAGTGTAGTGGTCACATTTTTTAACTTCTAAAATATAAAAAATAGAAGTACTATAATAGCTTAATTACTGACATGTCAATTGATAATAGAAGATTGAAACAAGCCCAGAATCCTGCTTATAAAAGATAGTCAAATATTCATTGACAGGCATTTAAATGCTTTTAGTCAGTCTGTTTGTATCTGTTAGCTCTCATAGTATTTCTTGAATGGGTTTAAGCAACTAAACAGAGAACCTAGACCATTATTTCTAAGGGAGTCCTTGTTTAACAAGTTAGATAGTCATTTTGCCTTGACTCTAATGGGGAAGATGTTTTTGTTCAAAGCTTTATTGGACCTACCCTACTAGAGATTTGTAATGGTCACTACCTGAGGGACAGGAGGCCACATGAGTTCAAAGACCAGGATGCCTAACCTGAAAACTAACAAGGAGTTCTCCTTCTCCTAAGACAAAAATGGCTTAATTTCCCTGGAGTAACAAGCTTTGAACTGGACTGGATAGATAAACTTGAAATTAAACTAATATATTTCTATTTTAAAATAGGCAGATACCCAGTGTGTGTTCCAGGGGCTTGTAGCCACTTGTGTCTTCTGTCTCCTGTCCGTCCCAAGGGCTACAAGTGTGTGTGTCCAGAAGGAATGTTTCTTCTGCCTTCTGGTACATGTAGTGGTAAGTACCTTAGTGAAATGGGCTTGGCTCATGGAGGCACCTTCATGGTTGGCCTGGAAATTATGTAGCTTCTATTTTTGTTCTATCACTTTTATACTGACAACCTACTTGATAGCAAGTTTGATTATCAAAAGACCTTGATTAGTTTTTTATTGTTAAAAAAACTAATATAAAATTTTATTTTTATATAATTTATAAAAATATATAAAATTTATCATATGAGCCATTTTTAAGGATGTAGTTCAGTGACATTAAGTACATTCACATCTTTGTGCAACTATCACTATCTTCAATCTCCAGAACTTTCGTTTTCCCAACCTGAAGTTCTATACTCACTAAATCCTCTCTTCCACCAGCCCCTGGCAACCACCGTTCTTTCTGTGTCTATGAATATTACTCCTTTAGGTTACTTGATGTATGTCGGCTCTTGCACTGTATTTCCTTTTGACTGGCTTATTTCACGTAGCATAATGGTGTAGAAAGTGTCAGGATTTCCTTTCTTTTTAAGCTTTCTTTTTCATTGCACAGATACTGTATTCTGATATTTGTCTACTATAGAACCAGTAATGTTATATACATAGACTGCATTTTGTTTATCCATTCCTTCATCAATGATGTGTGTTTGATTAATTTTAAAATAAAAAAAGTGCATCACTCAGTTTTTAATAAAAAATATAACAAATATGTTGGTATAAGAAATGAATTCTCTGTAGTGCTGACTCTGTGTTCTGACCTGTTTGTAGAGAGTCCACTTCAATATAGTTATGATGACTTCTTTGTGTTGCTGTTTGTTCCATATTTGAAATATTGATGTCTACATAATCCATTCACCATCTCTATCTACGTGATTTTTCTATAGAACATTGAGATTTTTAAGACTAGATAACATAAATATGTTCATGTTCTAACTACTTTAAAAAAGTCAGTAGGAGAAAGACAAATACAGGATGGTCTCACTAATATGTGGAATATAGAGAAACATTACAAAGTGTCAGTCAAAACCAAACCAACAGGGCCTCCCCTGGTGGTGCAGCGGTTGAGCGCTGGGCTGCAAAGCTGCCTGCAGCCTCTGCACCACCAGTTCGATCCCCGACCCCCAGCAAGGGTCCCACATGGCACGACAGACCTCTCCTGCCACGCCCACTTCTCCCCTCAGCAGTGTATTTCGTCGGTCTGCCTGTTCTGATCCCCGCTCTGGCTCTGGTGAATTCTCTCACCCTCCCGCACTTCTGACTGTACCCAGTGCTTGTATAAATAAATAAATAAATCTTTAAAAAACAACAACAACAAACAAACCAATAATAAACAACCTCTGACTACAAAACTGAGGTAACCAGAGGGGGAGGGTAGATGGGTGGGAGTTGGGAGAAAAGGGGCCTAATGGAACATGGTGGAGAATTGTTGGGGCACACTTGAGGGCAGGGTGTGAAAGTGTACACCTGTAGAGGTTTGAACCTATAACCCCAAGCAGACACAAAGATGTAAACCTACTTTACCTCACTGAACATAATTTTCAAGGAAAAAGAGTACAGTTTATAGAGTAGCCCTAAGGCCATCTTAATGAGTTGTTGGCCCAACTCGAGACTTCAGCTGAAATTGTTGAACATTATATATAAATACCTGAGTAACTTTTCTTTATATAGGTAAGAGGTTAAAATTCTTTACAGTAGAGACTTGTGTATTATAAGCAAGGATTCCATGACATTACTGAGTCTAATGGAAACACTCCAGTCCTAATCTTCATGATTCTGTCTTGAACTTTCAGCTGAAATTGAAGGTTTATTGCTAGGCTTTCCCAAACAAATGACTCACTTTGCTAAAGAACCTAAGACATTTATGTTGAATATATACTTCAGAAGCAAACATCATAAGATCCCTTTCTTTGTTTATCTCAGCTTGAGAGAAATTTGCTCAAGAATGGAACAGGGACTTATCTGACAAACAGATAGCTAATCTCTCTTTTTCCTTGGTAGAGTTAAAACTTGTGTTTTCTTCTGGCAAACATCTCTACTTGTTGAAAGTTGGATTTATGGGAACTGCTATAGAGAGAACTCTACTTCAGGAGCATCCTTGGAATATCTATTTATTGGATATTGACTGGAAAAGAAACACCATCTACTGGACAAATGCCCAAGGATATCTGTTCTACTCTACTAGTTATTCGGGAGAAAAGCAAAAAATTTGGACAGAGCATTCAGGTAAGTTTGAGTTCTTTTTCCTTCTGTTTTTTGACTCTAAATTGAACTAGAGTCAAAATTCCTACTAATTCATGATCAAATCAACCTTAATATCTAATAGTGATTCTAACTAATTTAAGTGTCTCTGTCTTAACATTTTTCTTGTAACTGTTAAAAGACTACCATGTTTTATGGAAGTTGTAGTGGCAGTGATAAGGTTATTAAATTTTTGTTTTTCTGTCCTTAAGTCTGGGTAGGGTAGAAATGAACCCTAAATCCAATTTAGAATTGCAGATTTTTTTCACATTAATTCAGAAGTAATTTGCAATGCAGATTTCAGATTCAACTAGTAAGATTTTCTTACTATGATAATATATACATTTCTCCCCTCCCACACTCCACAATGCCATACCCTACCTAAAGCTTCCTGTACTCAGCCTAAATGCAAACATCTACATTATAAAAGAAACCAAGACTTGACATCTAGGGTGAGTAATTTGAATTTTTTGGTGTCTTTAACATAAGTACTGCTAAGTACTGGAAATATGCTTTACTGCAAGAAATGCCGTATTGAAATACATGTTTCTGAGCCTCCCTGATGGTGGAGGCAGTTGAGCACAATACTGTGAAGCTGTCTGCAGCCTCTGCAGCACCGGTTTGATCCTGGCCTGCCAGGGAGATACCCACAAGGCACGGCAGACCTCTCCTGTTTCGCCCGCTGTTCCTCAGCAGTGTATTTTAGTCAGTGTGCCTGTTCTGTTCCCCACTCTGTCTCTGGTGAATCCTCTCACCCTCCTGCACATCTGGACTGTACCGTGGTTCTTGTATGCATGAATAAATAAATTTTTAAGAAAAAGAAAAGAAAAGAAATATATGTTCCTGAGTCATCCTTCAGAGAATCAGACTCTACCCAGTGTCCTGTGGGCCCGTACAGCACTTGTTATGCTGGAACTTCCTGTATCTAACCTAGAGAACTATAAGGAAAAACTCAAACGAGCAGTGATCTTGTAATATATCAGATGACCATCTAGAAAACTCCTGATTGTGAATTTCTTCCTGTTCAACTAAATACTGTCTCTCTCAACTGGCTAATCTTTTTGCTAACTGGTTTCTGTGTTATGATTATTAGATGAAGGAGTTGTAAGACATTGACAATGCATTTGAGCTTGCTCTAGTGTTGAATATTTAATACCTGTGATATAGGTGGTTGTGACATAATAGAAAATATATGTATTTTATATTTTATATATACACACATATATATCTAAGTATGTTATGCACTCACACACATACACACACACACACAGAGTGAATATTTTGGTCTTTGCTCCTAATTTCTGGCAAAAAGCTCTTAAGGTCTTTGTAGATAGAGCTCCTAAGTCCCTGGAATTCCCTGAGTAATGAGAATACATTTTGTTATAATGAGGTAACTCTTGGTGAGATGCTGGCTGTGAGCTGGTCACCAAAAGACCAAACCATGATTAGAAACTTGGATCTTATAGTCCCATCCCCATTCCTTGCAGAGGGGAGAGGGGCTGGACATGGAGTTAATAATCAATTATGCCTATATGATGAAGTATCCATAAAAATCCCAAAAGTATGGAGCTGCTCAGTTGGTGAACACACCACTGTGCTGGGTGAGTAGCACACCCCAGCTCTACAACCACAGGAGTTCCTGTGTTGGGGAACCTTGGGATGTTGCCCTCTGTATCTCTTCATCTGTTTATCTGTCATCTTTACACAGGAACTAGTAAATGTATTTCCATGAGTTCTTTGAGCCATTCTAGCAAATTATCAAACCCAAGGAGCACCTTGTAGGAACCAGACAGTCAGATTATAGGTGACTATAATCTGGGACTACTTGCATGGGCATCTGAAGTGGGGGCAGTCTTGGAGGACAGAGCCCTTAACATGTGGGATTTAATGCTAACTCCAGATAGACATTGTCAGAACAGAACCAAATTATAGGACACTTAGCTGGTGCCTCAGAATTCCATAGCATGGGGAAAGACCCACACATCTGGTGTTATAATATTGTGTTCTGTGTAATGGTGATAACACAGGAGCATTTGCCCATACAGTGGCTACAAAGCTTGATAAAGCCAGGCAGTTCATTTATAGGTCTTACTCCACTTCACCCTGACGTCTAAACCTGTGCACAGTCTTCAGGGCATTCTTACAACCTATGAATTGCAGCTCTCAGCTTCCCCTAACATCTCTGTATACAGGTGTCAGTGTTTTCCCTTGAGTGTGCTAATCTTGTCCTTATTGAAAATTGAGGCTGGAAATTACAGATCAATTCCTAATACAGGGAAGGACTGCAAAATCCTATTTTATGATTGTTCATGTCTTTAAGAATGTGAGTGGCTCAAAGAACATTCTGTGACCTTGGCTGCTGAACTATCAGCCTGGAATCGGTACAGCACCAAAGTGAAATCTAACTCCAGAGAGCACATGGTCTCTGCAGATGGCAGAGCCCAACAAAGAAGGGAGAAGCTGAGCCAAGTATGGCCAGGCTATTCTTACCAACTTGCTAATCTGGTCACTTCTCTCCTGGACAGGAGTGATTCAAGGACTGTGGGGAGAATTCAGAAGTATAATTGTATACAAGTTCCTCACATGTAAATGTGAGGAAAAGTGAAGATAAACTCCCACCCTAATGACCCAAAAGTGGGAAGCACTTGACAATTTTTGATCCCTTGTCTACTGGTTTCTCCATTCTGACACCTGTGCCCCAGTTCCAAAAAGCAGTCAGTTTGTCAACTTTCTGGGTGGTTAACATGTAGGTTACTAATATAATGCCCAGGGATGTGCTGGGATATATTTAACAGCTGACTCTCTTGGGTAGAGTGTGCATATATACATCTACATGCATTTATAATAAAGCTTGCTGCTACAAACTGTGTGTTACAATACTTTATAGGTGATAAAATATGCAGCATTTTTTATTGTAAGTTTCATATAACTAAATGATTTTCATAGATTAGCCAGAGTCCCAAGAATTCAGAATAAAAAATAATTTAGCATTGCAATTCAAGAGCAAACAAATCCAACTGAGTACATGCTTGATCCCAATCTGATTTGACAAAGACGTTAATGACCTTATCAAGCAAGCATAATTTTAAAAATTGTATTAATTTACCATTGGCTTACAATACTATATAAATTTCAGGATTACAGCTTCATGGCTTCATACCTCTATATGTGCTTGTGTCTCAGTACACCAACCAGCAAAGTTCAGGAGCCATTCACACTATCAGATTGACCTGCTCAACCCTTTGGTTCCATACCATTCCCTTTCTCCTCTGGTGACCACCGTATTTTCACAGTCTAGGCAGGATTTTTGTTGTGTTTATTTGCTTTGGTTATTTATATTCCATAGATGAGAGAAACCATCGAGTAATTGTTTTTCACTTTCTGATATATTTCACTTAGCATAATGACCTCATCCATTCACATTGTTGCAAAAGGCAATATTTCAGCTTTTCAATAGTTGAATCTTAGTCCATCGAGTATATGCTTTCCCATTGAGCATATGCTTTCTTCAGTTATTGTTTGTTGGGAATTTACGTTGTTTCGATGTCTTGGTTATTGTGGCTAATGCTCCTAAGGGATGCAAATAGCTCTCAAATAAGTGGTATTTCTATTTTTAAGAAATTTCCATACCATTTTCAATAGAGGCTATGCCAATTTATAATCATGTACAAGAATGCCTTTTTCTCTACACTCTTGCTAACATGTTTCCAGTTTTTTTTTTTATATAGGTCATATGTGAATGTTGATATAGGTCATACGTAATCTTGATGTGAATGTTGTTTGACACTTTTGTGTCTGTAAGCAATTGAGATGAAAGAGAAGCAATGAGGACTAGTTGGGATAGCTCATCAGTGACATTAATGAGTGCTTTGAGGAATTAGATGATAGTTTTCAAACACTAGAAAATCATTTCCTCAGTGTGTTTGTGGTATTAAAACAAGTAAAGGGAATCAATTATATGTTGTTGGAAATGACTTTTGGTAATAATTATAATGTTGCTTATACAGATGTTGAATTATAATGAGTACACCGGAAACCTATATAAAGTTACAAACCAGTGTTACTTCAATAAAAATTAAAAATAAAACAGAGTACGGCCTCCCCTGGTGGCGCAGCAGTTGAGTGCTGGGCTGCGAAGTTGCCCGCAGCCTCTGCAGTGCCAGTTCGATCCCCGGCCACCAGCGAGGGTCCCACATGGCACGACAGACCACTCCTGCCACCCGCTGCACCCTCGGCAGTGTATTTCTTCATCAGTCTGCCTGTTCTGTTCCCTGCTCTGGCTCTGGTAAATTCTCTCACCCTCTTGCACTTCTGACTGTGCTCAGTGCTTGTATAAATAAATAAATAAATAAATAAATTAATTAATTAATTAATTTAAAAAATCAGTTATCCTTTGAAGAAAAAATGAAACAGGCTAAATACAGGGGTTTTTATTTTTTTGTAAATTTAACCTGCAATATTGACATTTTCTAGCTTTCTTAGTCTAGACCAGAGGTATCAACCTCTTTCTGTAAAAGGTTACATAGTAAATTTTGAGACTTGTGGGCACTCAGCCATTGTATCTCAAAAACAGCCATAGACAATGTGTCAGTAAATGATGGTGTTCCAATAAAACTTAGTTACAAAAACAGGCCACCAGCTGAATTTGGCCCACGGACCACTGTTTGCCAGTCCCTGGTCTAGAAAACAAAACCCAAACCAAATCAAACATTGATCTGTAGTGTTTGCCAATTTCTGTTATTTCCAGCTATGGAGGTGACTTCACTAAACTTAGTAGATGCAATAGATGTAAATAATTAAAAGCATAATAATAGTAGCATGTCAGAAAATAATTAATGATTTGCGTATTTGTTTCAAATATAATTCACTTACGTTTCTGTAATTTAGTTTTTATAATGGCTGTATAGAACAAGCTAACAGAATTCATGAATTTAAAAACTGGCTGCACACCTGCTCCACCATACTGTTTTCCAATAACAGACACTGTCCTAGCATTTCCTGTGTATTACCTCTAATCCTCATAACCTAGGGAAGTACTATCCCTATTGCACATTTGCAGAAACTGAGGCACGGAAATGAACAGACACCTTATTCTGGAACAGGGTTTCCCAATGGCAGTCTGACTTGTTACTTTGATATTGCTCATAATCTTTTTGTGTGCGTGCTATACCATACCCCAGAATAGTTGATCCCTAACTTAGACCCAGTTGTGTAGTTACTGTGGGTGGGAGGAAGGAACCGACATTCTCTGAATGTTAAGTTTGTACCTGACTTGGTTGTTTATGTCTAAAAACTAACACTTTTTGGCTTTTACATACTTGATCCCTACCACATCACCTACTGGATGCTTTCTATTGGGTTGTCAGAAAACTCAGGATGCATTTTTGCATAGAAAACAGAAGAAATATGTTATGACTTTTCCAACAACCTAATAGTTACAGATTTCCTCAATGCCTTTCCATTCAGTGATTCCTTTCACACCACTGTTGTGCTTTTACTTCAGCGCAATCTCAGCTTTTCTATAGTAATTTCAGTCCTAGTTACTTACATGTAGTTGATTCCTTTTCACACTTAGCCTGTGAAGGAAGACTATGAATCTAAAGTGGCAGATCAACAATCAGATGCCAGCCTTGCTGCTTATATGTTTAGCCTGTAAAATGCAGAGAACACCTGCCTGGCCAGGGGCTGTACATCCTGACCAAGCTCATATTGACAAGTGAGGTATCAAAACCAGAGTAGAGACAATGGAGGTCAACATACAAACAAGCAGCTGGGCTTATTAGGGACCTGTCTTTGCAACTCCCCAATTTTCTCCTATCCATCACTGACCTAAAACTTGACAGTGCACAACCAGAGTTGAGTGCCTTTCTAAAGGGAGTTACTTTTCCTCCTTGCAGTCTGCTCAGCAAATGTGGACATAGCAACTGGGAACTTGTACTGGCTGCCCTGTGACAGAAGCACAATTCAAAAGACAAGAATTACTGGCCCAGACACACACGTCCTCTACAGAACGAGCAGCATCATACTGTACCTTCTTCTGGATTGGCCACAGAGGGTGCTCTACTGGGTAGAAAGTGGGAAACACTTGCAAAGTATGACTCTGGATGGCAGAAAGAGACAGGAAGTCTGGAGAGGCTCCTGGTCAGCGGACACCCACATGGCCTTGGACCTCTGCTCCTCTAGCATCCTCTGGACCACCAAAGGGTCAGGTAAGTACATGCAGTGCAGCTGGAAGAAGCTTGAGAGGATGAGTGGGAATGTTTTCAGTATAACAATTATTGTCATTTTTAAAGCTCTGATTTTCATTGGGCACAAGCCACCTCAAATGTAGTCCTCATCATAAATCTAAATTTAAATTTAAATCTAAATTTATGATTTAAACAATAAAAATCTTCAGAAATAATGTTATACCTCTTGCAGCGTACAGATTTAGTTTTTACTCTATATGTAGAAGTAATAGAATCAAACTTATTGCAAAAGAAGTATAGACGGTTTAGCTGAAACTTGATAACAGGTACAACTCATACTTTTGCAGCCAAATCCAATTGTTTTCCCACCCAGAAGGCCTCTCTGAGGCTTAGCAGCTCTGTGCTTATGGCAAGGGTTTAGTATATACAGAGGGCAGTAAAGTCACATCTGATGTTTTCATGTGGCAGGATTCACTTTTCTGGAGCTCTTAACATTTCCTTGGACTTTCATAAGCAGTAAAATTAAAACCTACCAAACATGACAGGAAGAATTTCCATTTATTTTCAATTTGGGCTCATTAAACCATAAATCAAATGGTACCCCTAACTCCCACTGTCACAGGTTACTAGTTCTATATCAACTTACAAGAACTTGACTCTTCCTTAGACTTGCAAAGCCTGAGTCTCCTAAGAAACAGGACATACACTTTGAACAAGACCTGGAGTGATGGGCTGATAGTGGCCCACGAGCCCTACCTCGTGACTGTAAACAGATCAGCTCTGGTGCTGTGGGACAGGAGGATGCAGGCACCCTTCTTGGTGTTGAAAGAGCCATCTATAAGGAAGGTGATCATCCTGGCAGAGAACTTGCAGGTTCCAGGTGAGTCTTCCTGCAGGTGGTTATTCTTTGAGACCCACTTTACCCCACTCTTCTTCGTATGGCTTACGAGGAAGAGATACTGCGCAGCATTGTGTTTTAACGGAAGTTGTCCCACCACACAACTCAGCAGGCTCCTCCCTAGTTTGGCCATGTCCTGGAAGAGCAAGCATCTAACACATTTCTCAGGGTTGCTAAATGGCACAAGTCCTGGCCAACACTCGCAATAGATCGCACAGCAGACCTGCTGTGGGGATTCCTCTTGTACTTGAGAATATTAAAGCTCTTAGTCTGTCAGTAAAGAGATCCATTTTCATTAGCTCTAAACCAGTTTCCCTAACTGACTTTGCCAAGGAACCCCTCTTTCAGGGAAGGCTTAGCAGTGCTATCTTGCTGAGGATCTTTGTAAAGCCACTCCTGGTTGCGGGCACCAGGAACAGCACCCCTCTGCTGTTGAATCTGCACCTTGGCCGTGCAAGGCTGGTTCACCTTCTTTCTTTTCATATAACCTTTTGGCGCAGAGCCAAAAATTTTGATCCTAGAATTTCGAGGCAGAAAAGGAAGGAATCCTATCACTGGATTAGGGAACTTTGTTAAGAAGCAGCTTGGAATCCCAAGGAAGGAGAGAGAAACAGACAGACCATTCCTCCTCCAGCATACTGACTCCAAAGAGGTCTCTCGTCTCCCTTTTCCATCCGGACTGCCTTACTTTTTTTTTTTTTTTTTTAAAGATTTATTTATTTATTTATACAAGCACTGGGTACAGTCAGAAGTGCGGGAGGGTGAGAGAATTCACCAGAGCCAGAGCGGGGAACAGAACAGGCAGACTGACGAAATACACTGCTGAAGGGAGCAGCAGGCGTGGCAGGAGAGGTCTGCGCACCATGTGGGACCCTCGCTGGTGGCCAGGGATTGAACTGGTCCTGCAGAGGCTGCGGGCAGCTTCGGGCAGCTTCGTAGCCCAGTGCTCAACCGCTGTGCCACCAGGGGAGGCCCCTGCCTTACTTTTTGAATCACTTCTTTGTTTAACCTGATCTTAAGAGTGAAGAAGAATTAGGCCTAGGGGCACATTTCTTAGGTGGTAATGTGTGCCAATAAACAGTTAGCTTTGTGGTTACAAATCCAATTTTAATTACTCTAACAAATCTGTTGGTGGTTCAATGGTTGCTGAAGAGTAATTTTGGTAATTTATTAACCTAATTTATAATCTCAACAAATGAGTGCCTCGTTAAGCTGGCCCCTGACCAGCAACCAAACAGAAATCCCTACCTTCAAAAACTTTTATTTTTCATACCCAGAATACAACATCAGGGAAGTGAAAAATTAGACCTGGCAGCAGGAAAAAAAATGCCCAAATTCAAAGCTATTAAATGGCAGGCCAATGTATCACACCTCACGGAAGGAATAAACTTTAGGTCCATTTTATTTTTTCTTCCTTTGAGGTAGAAAAACGTAGCCACATAATCATGACATGGTTTTCTGGAGGGAGGGAGGGGTAGTAGAAACAGATCCCATTGATGAAGCTGATGGACTGACTTGCTAAAGGAACTGCTTATTCTAGATCCTGAGATTGAAGGAGAAGCCACCCACTACCCTCCCACCGTCCCTCCTCCACCCCCTCTGCTTTGCTCTCGCTCCTCTATCTCCTGTCGGAATGGGAAGGAATGTGTTTCTCGGGAGAAGCTCTGTGATGGGAAGCAGGACTGTCTGGATGGCTCAGATGAAAAGAACTGTTCCCAGTTCTGCAACAGACCAGGTGTGTTCACCTCACCTGTTCTCAGTCTTTCATTCCAGGTAAACTGATTCAGCACTGGATGCATGGCATGAATCGCCAGCATGTTTATTATTATCACACTTGCTTCCCATAGGTAAAATATTATAGATAAAAGCCATAGTCTGTCAGAATCCTGATTCTGAGAGTGTCCATTTTATCACATTTATATCAGGTGTATTATCAGGCACAATTTGAGTATTGTGTGCTCCTTAAATTTAAGTGTTCCAGTAGGCTGAGCCAGGGAGTCACTAAATGGACCATTTAGGGCAGACTTGGCAGTGTTCCAATGAGTCGTTAAATTAACTGAGCAAATATGAGGCCTTATTTAAATAGCCTGGTTTAGCTTGCTAACTTAATTGACCTGACTTTATTAAAGCTTGCTGATCAATTAACTAAGAGAAAGAACTCAAAGTAATAAGAAGTTGACCTGACTTTATTAAAGCTTGCTGATCAATTAAGTAAGAGAAAGAACTAAAAGTAATAAGAAGCAGTCTATTTACCCCTCAAGCTCCTGCATGAGTGTGAATTAAGTTAATTTTGACCCTGCAATGTGACAATAGATGGCACTAACTTTTGTCCCTTTTCATGTCAGGGGTTTTCCAGTGTCTGGATGGAAACAAGTGCATTGAGGAGAAATACCACTGTGATGGGGCTCAGCAGTGCTTGGATGGGTCTGATGAGCAGGACTGCTGGAAGCCCATGGAAGATTGTTCTCTGCGCTGTGACAACAAGACCCGCTGCATCCCTAAGAGCTGGCTCTGTGATGGCAACCTGGACTGCTCTGACAAAAGAGATGAACAAGGATGCAGTAAGTTCATGAACCTTCCTCGGACAGAGAGGGTTTTCTGGGCTAGCTTCTATTTTGAAGGTCTTTTCTGGCCTAATGTTCCATTCAAGCCACTTTCCTGCCGGAAGTCCTGCTGGGGCTTAGTTTCCATGGTGATCATCAATTACCAGGAAGTCTTCAGACCTTTTATTTGCCATCAAATCATTCAAGCTGAGTGCCTACCTAAGGCTTTGTTTTTCAGCTCATGAAAAATGCAGCACATCTGAATTTAGATGTGAGAATGGCCAGTGCATCTCTTATTCTCTGCGCTGTGATGGGAACCGAGACTGCCTGGACCACTCGGATGAAGAAGGCTGTCTGCTTGCTGGGCCCCCACGGTGTCCAGCAGGGGAGGTGAAGTGCCCACGGAGTGGAGAATGTGTGTTGGCAGAGTGGATCTGTGACCATGACTTAGACTGCAAAGATGGAGCCGATGAGAAGGTAATCTGCTCTTCCTTCAGAAAGATAGATTTTGAATCCCCAGCAGTAACATGTTATTTCCTGTAGATAACTTGGGAACATACAAGAACAGAAAAGCCTCCCACAATCCCTGCCCAGAAAGCCCCTTGTGACTTCATCAAGGTGCTCAAAGTGTTAAGATCAACTTTCAGGGTTTTTTATTGTAGGAGGTTTGCTAATGTTAGATCTTGATGGCCATGGCTTAAAAGTCCTACCTAGATAGAGACTATACCCTGAAATGTCACACAAATGTCACCATGGAATACTGTGAAGCCCCCACCTCATGTGAGATGCAGCCTGGTTTGGATCCTTCTGCATTTAACCTTAAGAAAATCATGTAACTCCTTAGCACCATATTTCCTCAACATTAAAATTGGTATTGATATGCCTTATATGCCTTATAGTGATATGCCCTATCTAAAGGCTCGGGAGTGCATTTTAATATTCTTGGGTGTGCATAAGAAACGGTGGGAAGGATTCCTGAGAAGAGTTTCTAGGGAAGAAATGCTTATGTTTCTTAATGAAATTACTACCTTCTGATTGGTCAGTCTGACAACACAAGCTATTTCTTTCCACTTCCCACCCACGTTTGTATCACCTAGAAATCTCCTCACCTAAACTCCAGTGTTGAAAAGAGTTTCTTATAATTTGTGTCACCTCTGAGTTTCCAAAGGTGGTTTTCTCTAAGAAACTCCTTCCTGGACACCAAATGCAAATGTCACTCACCGAGTCACTGTCTCCCCAGGACTGTGACCCCAAGGAGCTCCAGTGTGGCTCGAGGCAGTGGTCCTGTGACAGCAGAGACCAGTGTGTTCCTGACTCCTGGCACTGTGATGGCCAGAGGGACTGCAGGGATGGCAGTGATGAGGCTGGCTGTAAGTGGCGGGGCGGGGGGGGGGGCCTCACTGAGAGGAGAAGACAAAGTGATTCAAAGGGGCACCTGCTGCTTGCTTCCAATGGCAGGAGAACCCCACTCGGCCAGGAAATGTTCTAGGACCTGAGATTCATTCCCTTACTGGGAATGGAGGTGTTTTGACAGGGCACAGGAAGCCTTGCCGTGGGAGGGAGGTTTGGGGAGTAGACTACAAAAGTAGAAAGTCATCCCCTCCAGGCCCCCCCTCGGAGTGCCGGCGTTCCGAGTTCCAGTGCCTCAACTCTGCCTGCCTCAACCGCAGCCTGGTATGCGACGGGACGGAGGACTGTGCCGACGGCTCCGATGAAGGTGGCGAGTGCTCGTTGTCATGCAGCCCACGACATTGTCCCCACACCTGCTACCGGTCCCCACTTGGGCCTGTGAGTCAATCTGGTCTCTCGAGTTATATACTTGGTTTGGTGAAAGGGACAACTTCCTCAGTCAGGCTGCGCCCGACTGTTCCTTATTCTCTAAGGTTTACATGGCAGCACTGTCCTGACTCACCCACCAATGTCCCTGGGCCTGGGCCTTTCTGGGCTCCTGTTGAGTCCTCCCTAGCTCCTCCCTGTCTTGCATCTTCTGGATCCATAGCTCCAATTTCCAGAAACTTACTACCATTGTCCTTTTCACCCCAGTGGTGAGTTCTAGGTGACAAAAAGTGTGTGTGGAGTATCTCAAAAGCCAACCAACCCCCATCATGGGACACTGTAGAAATTTAGAACCTGCTCATATGGAAGTCCCTTCCACATAAGTATTTGGAGTATGACCTGCCCTTAAGTTGAGGACTGCCCCTGCATGATGAGTTGGCTTAACATAGTAAACCAGATTCTGATGAATAAGTAGAAGAAAACTCTGTTCTGATGTCTGTCCTAGTAACATCTGTACTGTTAGACAATCCATTCAGTTATGTCTATGGACCTTTTTTCTTACTGATTAACTGGGGATCTAGGTCGCCTGGGCTGAACGTGGCCAACTTCGTTAACTTGGGACCTTGTGGTGGCTGGAGTGAGAGTGTGTAGCATGTTGATAAGAAGGAAGAGTCAGAATATGATAGGCTTGGAACCAAAATAAAGTTGATTCTAAGAACTGTTTAAGTTGCTCAAATTGAACATATCGCCATGTGTTTTTTAAGCTAAGGTTGGTTGTACTGTCTTCAGAGAGTCTTAATGTTTCCTAACTTCCTTCAGGTATGTGCCTGTGAGCCAGGCTTTGAGCTGGAAAGCAGTGGCGTGGACTGCAAGGACGTGGACGAGTGCCGGAAGGCGGGTGGTCAGCTGTGCAGTCAGACATGTATTAACACCAAGGGCTCCTACACCTGTACCTGTCATCCCGGCTACTTTCTGGAGCCTGATGGCCACACTTGTAAAGCAACAGGTGAACTGGAGTGGGGACTATTTCCTAAACCCTGAGAGTTTGAGGTCCTAAATCAAGTCTCTTTCTCAGGACTTAAATGCTTGAGCCTGATGTTTTGTCTTTACAGCCAACCTAGCACATTCCCAAATCCATTTTTTATATCTCATATTTCAGGTTGAATTTGAGCCTGAAAGTCCACTAGTAAATCATCATTATAACAAAACCATAACTCCAGTCTCTGTACCCTACCTAAAGTCAGTGAGAATAAATGTCTAAGGACTTGACAACATTTCTTTCCTTCTCAACTATTTCCAAAATATTTTGTTAGATAGTGGAGTTTTCAAGTTAAGCTAATCATCTCTTTATTCTAAGTATCTTAAAACCATGGGTCTTAGCTTAGCTACACAGATACCAATTAGCTGACTTTATAGCCCTGGCAATGAAAATGTGAAGGCTACTTAGCTAGGGCTGGGATTCACAGTTCATAATCCTTAAGACCCTGCTGAAAACAATTGTTATTTGACAGGTACTGAACCAATCCTGCTTGTGGCAATTCAGTTTAACCTGCTCCTTTATGGATTGAGGAGCTTGAAAGAAGATGTTCTGGCAACCACAGACAAGAACCTAATTATTTTCTCTATTGACTATGACTTAGTGGATCAGAAAATCTTTTGGACAGATGTTGGTGCAGAAACTATTAAGTGGATAAGTATGAACACAAAGAAGAAAGGAACAGTGGTAAAAGGTATGATGGAAATGAAGTGTAGGTTTTTATATTGTGCTTACCAAATACACACAGCATGAAAAATTAAATGCATTAACAGCCTAAACTTTGGTTTAATTATATCTCAAAAGTGACCACAGCTTGCTCATTGGTTAGAAAAGGTGAATTGTCATCTCAGTAGACACAGGAACCAGTCAGGCTGTCATCCAGTGACTATTTGCAGCAGTCATCTTTGTCTACAAATAGTACTTTGGAGCATTTTAAGAAGATCATCCTCATGGAGATGGAAAATAAATTAATATGGCATGAAAATCTGTGAGCAGAAACCTAGTGAAGTTATAATTTAACCTAAGTATACATGTTGACTGGTTCCTTCTCAGGGATAAAATCAGACTGCCTAGTCGTTGACTGGATTGGGAGGAATCTCTACTGGATTGATGGGACAGCCGGGCAGATTTTGGCCATTGCATCAACTACTGTTTGGAGAGGAAAATCTGAGTATACAGTTGTTCTGGATAATGACTTGAACCAACCACGGTCTTTGGCTTTAGATCCTCTAAATGGGTGAGTTCATTTTTAAAGTGAAGTTCTTTAAGTTTAGTTTTCCTCCTTAGTGGTATTCACTCACCATAGAATGAATGACTAGAAACCTTATCTGACTTTACTTTAAATCTATGTATACATGGTACACTTAAAATCTTCTGAAAAAAAATTCTTTGTTTCAGTAAAGTGAGATGTAAGTCTACTCATTTACTGGGCCAGTATATTATTTTGATAACATAAACAAATATATCGCTGAGTACCTCCTACAGGAGAAAGAAAATGGAATTAAGAATCGTACTTAATTTGCAATATATATGATAGGGAGTGAGGTGCAGAAAAATTACATATTGGGATCAAGCCTGATCTATCCAGTTGTTGTTCTATCCAGTTCTTTCTTTCTGCGAAGGGCTGGGACCTTAGAGGCAACATTTCCTATGTGTCATAGCCACACCCTCATTGGGATGGCCTTGTGTGCATCAAATGTAAGAGCAAGATAGAGCAAAATTCAGGAACTGAAGGTGACCCAGTTAAGTACCCCTTCTGCTTTTCTCATGTTTGGAATACCTCCCTCCAGGAACTGTTAGCATGCTCCCTAGAAAACTGGCAGGAATTTTTGACGCATCAAATGACTTGTGGCCAAAGATGAACCTGAGGCACACATCTGTCCATGCAATTAGCCTACTTTCAAGCCCAGAGAAGACTGTAGTTTTCCTGTATATTTTCCAGGCTAGGAACTAATGTATTCCCAAGTTTCTTGTACAACTACCCATGATATTTTACCCCCAATTGATGACTAAACAATCACTGTGAAATTTTCAGTGAATTATTCTTTTACTACTTCACAATCACATTTAAGAGTAGACCAAGTTTTAGTTTGAGGAAAGTATAATTGGGCAGCAAATAAAGAGTTTCAAAGAAATAATTATTGTTTTCAGCAAGGTAGTACTTCATCTTAAAGCTGATTTTTATCCACATAGGTTAATGTACTGGTCTGAAATTGGAGGTGAACCACAAATAGAACAAGCTGGAATGGATGGTAGCAACAGAAAAATACTCATCAATCAAGGTCTTGGTTGGCCAACTAGCATAGCTCTTGATCAGTTGAGTTGGAAGATATTCTGGTCTGATGACAAATTTCACTCTATTGGCTCTGCCAATCTAGATGGTACTGGTATTAGAGTAAGTGCTTTTTGGTTTTAAACTTGTCTGAAATGTTATGTGCCTTGTGTCAAACTCAGGTGAGAAACATCACCTTTGCCATTTTAGATGTTGCAGCTAACACAAATCAAGAGCCCCTTTTCGGTTGCTGTGTTTGAAGATGAAGTTTTCTGGTCTGAAGTGAAAACAAGGACAGTACAGCACATGAAGAAGTCAACAGGCAAGAACAGAGCCGTCCTCATCAAGCGTTTTGAACAGCCTTATGGAGTCAAGGTCTATAGAGTGCTCTTCAAAATATCCCCCTAGTTCTTCCTGAAATGGATACATGTATGAGAGTCTCGGGAACAAACTGTAGTGACACCCATCTGTGATGATAAAAAAGCAAGACTTACTCATTTGCTATTTTGAAGGACTCGATAATGCACAGTGACATCTAGCTTTCTTTCTTCCAGATAATGCATGAAGTGCTGCAACCCAGGTCTTTTAACCCTTGTCTGGACACTAAGTGCTCTCACTTGTGTCTTCTGAGCCCAAAATCAAAGGGAAGCTGTCATTGCCCAGTTGGACTCCTGCTTGCAGATGATGGCATCAGCTGTGCTCCACCCAAGGAGTCTGCATTTATGTTCCTTGTATTGTCCACAGTTGTCATGCAGGTACCATTCCACAGGCTTGCTCAGATCTCTCTGCTTGGGCTGAGAGCTGTATCATAAGGGCTCTTTCTCTTGGAATGTTCTTCAAATACAGTAACTCCTCACTTAACATCATTGATAGGTTCTTAGAAAGTGATTTTTAGCAAAATGATATAAAATAAAAACAGATCCTTGAATAAAGACATTTTGTTCATCATGAGCTGGGGTTGTTTTTATCTGATCAGTGTTATAACCAAATGTTATTTGATGACCTACTATACAAGTTAAATTTTAATATTCACTGTGTGCTGGAAGCTGTCATGAACAAAACAAAGTAGCAGTTAAATTAAATTGCCTAATTAAATTGCCTTAAGCAGTTATTAGTACATTAGAACACAGTGAGGTTAGGGATCTAAGATTGTGTTTAACTCTTCAGTTGTCCAAACAGCTAGCTGACCATGTAGAGTAATTCCAAATACAAGGTGCTCTTCTGGGTTCTAGTCTTTGGGGGTAAGCACATTTTGTGAAGGAACTTTCTTAAATTATAGGAAGATAAAAGGTATAATAATAGTGACCCCTATCTTATACTATCTATAGGACTTGTCCATTTTAACATTTAAAAATGACAAATTGTTGAATAAAAGACCAGCTTCAGTTTCGGATTTTAGTAGAGGAGTGTTCTAGTAGGGGAATAGATCTTCATAATACATGGATTCAAGGAATTTTAAGTGACTAAAACTCCGGGCAGGGAGAGAAATAGCTGGTATCTTCTTTTAGAAGATAGAACATATAAAAACCTTAATTTAGTATCTTAACATTAATGTAAAATCAAAGTGAAGAGTAAGAATAACCTCAACTGTTATCATCCATCTAAGTTTTGTCATTGTTGTTTCCATAGGTCTATCTGAAAAACCTAGAAGCTGTACTCGGGCAAGAAATGTTGCCAGAACATAGGATACTTCCCTTTACCAATGTGAACCAGCTTGCATCAGTGGACTACCTTGTCCAGGAAAAGACTCTCTACCTTTCAGAGTTGGATAAAGGTGATATCAGGCTACTGAGGCTCAAAGAATCTGGAAAGCTCTCTTGGAGGAAAATCCTGTCTGTGGAGGGGGCAGTGGTCCATCTTGCTGTGGACTGGTTGAGTGGAAACATATACTGGATTGATAGTGAAAACCCTCACATCAATGTAGCTACCTCCAAAGGCCAGTATCCCATTGCCTTGCTCAGTGAAAATCTTTACCACCCAGTTGCTGTTGTGCTACACCCACCTACTGCAGTCATGTGCTTTGTGGACCTGGGTCCCCAGGGTGGTGGCAGGCTTGGCTCCAGCATTGAATGTGCCTCCATGGATGGCAACAGGAGAAAGGTGCTGTGGCAGAAATCCCAGTTCCCTGTGGGTCTGGCCTTTTCGGATTCAGGGACCCGAATATACTGGGCTGATACTGGTAAGCAATTGTTGCTTCAATTGGACAGAATGAAATAGTAATGTTCTGCTTTCTGGTCTTCAGTCTTAACTTCCAATGGCCTTTAGGTCTGAGTTCTATTTTCTGCACCATCTTCCAAATAGATATTTTCCATCTTGACTAGCATAAAATAGCCCATGCTGTCATGCAGTTGGCTCTTTGTGAAGGAATAAAGCTGAGAACTTACACAAAGATTTGTTCATACATATTTGCCATCACTGTTAAAATAGGACAATGAAGATAAACTGGTCTTTTTGAGTGCATGGCAAATAGTGTCCTCCTGGAAGGGAGTGAGGGCAAGATATGAAGAGCTCCAGGGCATAGGGCAGATCTTTGGACTAAGAGAAATTAACTGATCTTCTCTTCTAGGGAGGGGACTCATAGAAAGCATCCAGCAAGATGGCTCTAGATACAGAGTAGACTGCAGAGGAATTCAAGGCCTTAACCTCTTTACATATGGCCAAGGCATGATGTTCTGGACAACAATTGATGATGGTGGGTATTAAATATGATGGTGGGTATTATATATATGATTGTCTTTGTGATCTGAATTTACTCCTGGGTGTCTGATGGAGATCTGCCCATGCTTAGCACTGATCGTTGGAAGTATCTATCTTTTGGAAGAATAGTTAGGCAACTTCCCTAATCTAACATGAATGATAACAGTGATTCTGTGACATGCAGGGAGATATTTTACCTGTTTGGTTACTCCTTATATGAATATACTTAATCCCTCTGCCTGTGGTGTCTGGCTTTCATAGCATGCTTTCTCCTCTAGAAGAAAACACCACATGGTATCAAGAAAACTGGGTCAGGAATTGGAAACAGGGGATACACCTACTGTAACACCTTACTGTAAAATGAGAACAATACCTGACTCAGTTGACTAAATATATATGAAATTATTAGGTAAATTACAGGGTATTCTATATTTGCAGTGTATTTCTGGATTCAAAAAGATTGTCCTAAGCCACAGCGCTCTACTGTATTATTTCTGGCTAGAGTCTGGACTTGGTAAAACTGGAAAAGCTGTTTAAAATAAACCTTTTCTCTTTATATTTCCAAATGCTGGTCCATTGACCAGCTGGGCTGACATCAGAATTACAGAAACAAGTTGCCAGATAAACCCCAGAGATGCTAAGTTGTTAGGTATGTGATGAGAACTCTGCTATCTATTTTAAGTTCTCCTGGTGACTCTGGTTGCAGCTATGCTTTTTTCAGAAATGTTCTAAAATAGTTTTCAAAATCATTACCCCTCAATTGCATGAACTACATCTAAGAGCCACATATTCTACGTTTCTCTTTAGATGTGTGGATATGTATGAATGTGTCTGACAACCTACTTATACCTGATTTTATTTTGGAGAAAGGAATAGAATGGTTTTTATTTATCTTGAAGTTTCTTTCCAGTAGCAAGATATAAAAAAATACATGTCTCTTCTGTAATACTTCTGGTACTCAATCTGCAGTTTACCCTGATGAATAACAGTTTTCACATTGAACAATGTTCTTTTCCCAGGAAACAGTCTCAAGGTAAAATTTCACACTTGTTAATACTTGTTCAATGGCTTTTATTTCAGCCCAACTCACTAAAGTGTGGTACAGCAAGGCAGAACTTTCAGAAAAGTGGTGGTTCCAAGTAGACCAGAAGATTGTGGATTTAAAAGTTTATAGTAAACTAAATCAACAGGGTAAGCAACCATGTAATAATTATGACAGCAATGAAGTCTACTGAACTTCCCAAAGGAGGGGAGGTTTCAGCCTGTAATATCTCCTCAAAATATCTCTAGATTCTTTTTTTTTTAAGATTTATTTATTTATTTGTACAAGCACTGGGTACAGTCAGAAGCACGGGAGGGTGAGAGAATTCACCGGAGCCAGAGTGAGGAACAGAACAGGCAGACTGCCGAAATACACTGCTGAGGGGAGTAGCGGGCGTGGCAGGAGAGGTCTGTCGTACCATGTGGGACCCTCACCAGTGGCCGGGGATCAAACTGGCACTGCAAAGGCTGTAGGCAGCTTCTCAGCCCAGCACTCAACTGCTGCGCCACCAGGGGAGGCCCTCTAGATTCTTATTAAATAATTTCTCTGACAAATTCCTATAGATCTGCATAACTGTATTGTTTTATGCAGTTAGATATAGTCTGGTTCTGGTATATAACTGTCCTGTTATTGATTTAATCGACTTGATAGAGGTAATTATTGGACTGGGCTTTGGTAGACTTGGGTTCTAATTTAAAGTACCTATTACTGTAGACTGAATTATAACTCTTCCATAGTCAAAATTCCATTTTATCTCTAATGCAGAAACAATCTTTGTTCTACTCATGGTCACTGGTAACAACTTGGGATGTAACTAATCCTTGAAATGTTAGATATTTCAGATGTGTTTCTCCACCTTTCTTATAGACACAATGGAGTGAATAGATGTTTGGGGGTGATGACAGACTTAACTGAAGTAGTAATTGATAAAATCTGTTGAGATTAATGTCAACTACTCTGATGTATATAGGAGTATATATTTGTCTTAAGGGAATGTTGTTCTTTTGAAAATAAACTTTATAAACTTGTTAGTCGTGATTTAATTCTTGAAGTCTTGGCTTTGTGGAGAGCCCTTGTTAGAAATCTTCAGTGTGATAAAATGGTCACCCAAGTGATAATAATCTGTTGCTTAGTTATGAGAACCCGGGGACTCCTTTTTACCCCAAATGTGGGTTTTGTCTATATACGTATCTATTACATAATTCCTGGAACAAGTCAAGACATGACCTTGGAGAACTATGGTAAGTTAAAAATGGTTGACTTAATCATACTCTTGAGGGGATAATAGAGATCACAGCTTCCAAGTTTTCATTGAAATAGAATATTATTATGAGGGCCCTTTTATATCTGATCTTTAGTATTAAGTTTGAGGGAGAAGAGAACTGACCTCTATTTTCTTGAGCTCATCCCTTGTCTAAACTCTTAAGTCTTCTAAAGCTTCCTTATCCACAAACTGTAGTCAACCAGTTGGTACCTATTTGACTAAAAGGAACTAATTTAAAGAGTTGTCAACTTTGGAGAAAACATCAGTATCCTGTAACTCTGATAGATTATTTTCAGAGAGTTTGCAAAAGAACCTTCTGAGATCCAGTCTAACTCAGTGTGTGTGTGTGTGTGTGTGTGTGCATGTGTGTGTGTATATATGTGCGCACGCGCACGTGACATCCACAGGTATGAACAGCTGCTCAAAAGACAATGGAGGATGCAGCCATATCTGCTTACCGAACCCTGAAGGGAAGACTTGTAAATGTCCCAGTGGGTACTACTTGGCTGACAAAAATGCTTGTATTGAAACTATCCAGTGCTCTACATTGACACGATCCTGTAAGGATGGTCAGAAATGCATTTCTGTGGAACAAGTTTGTGATGGTCAGGCCGACTGTCTGGATGGATCTGATGAAGCGGGTTGTGAGTAACTCCTACCCAGCACCTACTGTTATCACCACAAATGACTGACTTTTATAATATCTAGTTCCACAGGTTTCCTCAAGCTTTTATCTTCTGTAACCTTGTTATCATTGTGGACACTTTCAATTGAACAATATAAAACCTCTAACTATTGGCTATAGATTATGTGAACTGCTTGTGGAAAGCTAATGTGCCCTCTGATTCATTTTATGATAGCAAATATGATACTGAGTTCCAAAGGGCTAAATAGTTTGTATGTTGTTTGAAAGAGAGCTCTTTAACCTTGGTTTGATTCAGTCTGTTTAACTTGATCACACAGTAGACATAGTGAAGGAGAAGAAAGATGGGCAAACTATTTGAGCTGTCTTGTTATCCCCCTTTTAATGTGGAAATAGTCCTTTATATCTCATAAATGTGTTAAGGAATTCAAGATAATGTGCTAAAGCTGTCATTTTAGTATGTAAGATTGTCCTATTCACACTCAAATGCTAGTTATAGAGAGCTATTCTAGAAATACTGAGCCAAATATGCCTTCACGGAAAGGTGGGTCATGTCTGTTCAGTTGAGTGATCAGATATCTGATTTTGCTCTAATTCTGCTATAGTTCCAACAAGTCCCAGTTCCCTAAGCTATGTTATCGAAGATGCAGTAGGCTTGGTACTTACACTGGTTGTAATTAATAAGGAAAGAGATTTGGAAAAGAATCTTAGAACAAAGGGTTGTCATTGACTTTTCAATTTAAAGTTTCATCCTCCTAAACCTGACTAGCTGGAGTACCAGTTACCCTAACCACATCATCTTAAATTGGAAAGAGGACGAATTTTGATTCCCAGCATAATAAGAGTGGTGGTGTGTCAGTAACTCAAGGTGGGGGATCAATGAGTGAGAAACCTGTCACCTTCAACAACTGGTTTTAAAAGTAAACCAGAAACCACATACTTGAACTTGATCTTTCATTATTGATGGCAAAGGCTGAAGAGTTGGCTCTGCTCTGTAATAAATGTTTCACCCTGCCTTTCATGTAAAACTTTGGTAGATTGAGGAGATGGTATTGAACATATAAAGTTAGACTGGCTTCCCCTGGATATACCTACCACCAAAGATCTGCACACTCCTGTAATACCAACTTACAGTGGAGGCATGGAGCAGTTTCATTGCCAATATTGCCTTTCTCCCCTAGTAATTTAGTTTTTAGTGTTCTGGTCAGGAACCAACAATTATGGAGATTATGGTGAAATACCTAAAACACAAATTGAATTGTTGAATTCTTCTTTGGTTAGAAGCACCTTGTTGCCTGCTCCCTGCCTTAGATATGCCCCGCTCACAGCCAAATCTGGTTCAATATTTGCAACTTGATGATCTTGCTAAACCAAAAATGTATGTGCACTCAAAAAATTAAAATATTTACAGATAAACATGTCTTAAAATCAGATGTAGACATAAACTTTTAGAAGTTTTCTTTTTTAGGCCAAAAGAAGTGTTGGTAATTATGATTCCATAAACTCAAATTTATCTGGGTGAATGCACTAGAATTCTTATTTTCTGAGATATTTTTTAACTACATACATGTGTCTACATCCACATTCATACCTACTGTTTTTGTAGGTCCCTATTCAGACGAAACCCGTTCAACAACTATAGATCCAGCAGCTAGAAAAAAGTTGGCTCTGAAAGCTGTGCAGCCCCTCCAGGATACAGAGCCCACCAAGCCTCATCCAGGAGGGATGAATTACCCTTTCAGCAAAACATTCACCTCTCCGAGTCCTGCCAAAGAAAGCAAGGCCCCAGAAACTGAGGAGAGAGGGGAGTTTGCTCAGCCTGAGAACTCACAGAGGACAAAATATCTGCCCTGTAGCAGCAATTTCTGTAACAGGAGGGGCGTCTGTAGAATGGAGGGAGAGCTCAGGAAATGCAGCTGCATGATGGAATATGGTGGAGAGTTCTGTGAGGAGGCAGTGCATAGACCTGCCTCTGGATACCTCACCCTTGGCTTAACCATGGCCTTGTCAGTCATTCTGGTAGCTCTGTCATCATTTGTCTATCTCAGAAGAAAACATGAATTAAAAAGGTGAGCAGCTATTAATATTCCCATGAGAGAGTTTTATTCTAAAGAAGCCTCATAAAATAAGATTAAAAAAATTAATGAGTTTGGAGGCATAAAATCACTCTAGAAATTTATCTTCTGAGGAAGGATTTAGGCGATGAAGCAGCCACATAGGTCACATGATCTGAAAAATAAACTTTTGGGCCATTTCTTTGAGCAAGGCCTGGACAAGCAATAATGCATGTGGTAGGAGGCATTTCTGCAAGTAAAAGTGCCTCAAAGGGGTCAGTGCCTCTGTTTCTTTGATTTCTTAGAAGCAGCATGGCCTCGTCAAGAAATCAGACCCACTACAAAGCAAATGACCAAGAAGAAGAAAATCTAATGAACAGTGAGACTTTTGTCAATGAAGCCTATGATGAACAGGTATGTGCTGAAGACTGATTTGGGGAAAATGCATTGTGAGACATAGTTAAAGATCCCCCTTCTGAAAATTCTATCTGGGTCAAAGGAGGCAGTGTTAACTTCAAGAACTTTTGCTTACTCGTGATTGTTGCTATCACATATATCAAACCAATACTTAGTTACTATTTTATCCTTAGACTCTGGTTTGAACAACTAAAGACTTAACCAAGTAAAACACGCATAAATTAGTCTTTATAAATTCAGCTTTTGGTCGACATCTACAAAGGGCTCAATTTTTGTAGGGTGTAGGTGGGATGTCAGTAGGATTCACTGATGTCACCCACCCCCAAAAGTTATGTCTACCTGTGACTTCTGATTATTTTAACCACCTCTGTGATTTTTGCTGTGTTTTAATATACTATGTGTGTTCAAGTTCAATACTATGTGAACTCAAATTTAAGTTCTTTTTCCTACAGGAATTGTTGACCTCTCTCCAAACTGACTAACCTGATATAAAAGAAGCTGGAACATCTAAATAAACATTGTTTATACATTTCATTGTGTCTTATCTTTTGTAACAGCTGGTGGTAAAGGTATCTTCTTATTGACATAACTGCATTTAAGAAAGAGAAAAACCAGATGGTTTCACTTAGAGGTGGAATCTAGGAAATCAAAGAAAGGATCAAAGACAAATTGTAAGCCCAACCCTTGAAAGCACACAGTAGAGCTGAGACACTCAGGGAAAGGGGAGGGAGTTGGAAAGGGGAAAAGTAAAAAATAGGATAGTGGGGCACAATGGACTATGGTGGGGGACTCTGGGTGCTTTGGGTGGGAAAACCCTGGTGACCACACCTGAGAGTGAAATCCTATATTGTGAAAAAATAAACAAGGATGTTTAAAAAAAACAACAACACACAACACATTAGCCCACCTAATAAAATAAAATAACTGCGTTTCATATTGGAGGAGGTCACTGGCTTTTGGCGCCAAAGTTCTAAAACTGAGTATTCATAGGGAAGATCAGATTTCAGTTCAACCTCCATGTAAATTAGGTTGATTTGCTTAGAGATAATTTCTAATCCCAGAGTTCTGGATCCAGTACTAGTCAGAAGTTCTGAATTTCAATCTTGGTTCTGACTCTAACTTTGAGCTATTCTCTTTAAACTTGTTTCCTACTTTACAAAAGGGGAAGGTCTAAAGGGAATGATCTCTCTTGAGTATTTACCTTTTAGGGTAAAGGTCAGGTTTCTGCAGTGGCATGAATGTTCAAGTGTTATTTTCCTACCACTCCCTCTCTTGTATACACTTCACTGCAAAGTTAGCACTCACTTTTGCTGAAAATCAGTAAAAAAAACAACAACAAAAAAAACATGTTTTTCTAATGCTTTCATTGGATTCTGAAATTAGTATAGATGACTCTATTTTACAGAAATAAAAATTCAAATTTATGCTTTGTGTAAGACTTCTAGGAAGTAAAGTAGGTGACTACTACAGATAGAAATATATAAGGTTAAAGGAATGGATCAGGGTTCATTTCAGCTAGCTCTTCTTGCCTGTTGGGAAAGCATGTGGATGCTCCATGCATCCCAAATTCCCTTTGACTGCTAGTATCTCTGCTATCATGCCTGCATTCATACCCATGTGACAAATCAATGGTGTTGAAGCTATAATGAGACACAGGTAACAAAGCAGGTCTAAAGTCTGATAATAGTGAAACTAACTCCCCATTGATACAAATGGGACCCACAGAACCTACATCCAGCCAGTTGGGCATGAGTCTGAACATATATGTCTATTACCCTAAAAATTTAGGAGGCTACTAAAAGGTAAAGCATGTTTACTTGGGATCAATTAATTATAATTTGGGGTATGCACATTTAGAGATAAACCTAAAATATGTCCCAAAAAGGAACAAAAGTCAGGATGAGGTGGTTAGGTGAACAGGTCATAGAGGTAAAAGATGGTAAAAGTTTACTTTTTCCAGCCCTTTTAAACAGAATATTCTCAATCTTAATAGCTTCTTGGACTGTTGGTGGCTCAGTTCAAGAATGTAACCTAGTTTAAACAGCAAAGTGGTATTTCTGTTGCAGTGGCAGCTCAGCTCCATTTTAAAATGGCTCCACTTATATCAACGTAATTTCCACAAGTTCACATTATAATAAAAATGATTTGGGAGACACTTTCTTGTTTGGGTATTTTCCAGAATAGTCACATTTAGGTTTTTTTGCAGAATGAATTTGTGGGGACTACCAATCACAAAGAGGAAATCCTTACTGCACATAGAATACACTGTGCCTTTCCATCAGCTATAGAAATTCTTAAATTGGGTCCTCCCCAGTGGCACAACAGTTGAGTGCTGGGTTGCAAAGCTGCCCACAGCCTCTGAAGCACTGGTTCGATCCCCGGCCACTGGGTGAGGGTCTCACATGGAGCACAGACCTCTCCTGCTGCCCTCTGTTCCCCTCAGCAGTGTACTTCGTTAGTCTGCTCTGCTCCCCCTCTGGCTTGGTGAATTCTCTCACCCTCCTGGGCTTCTGACTGTACCCTGTGCTTGTATAAATAAATAAATAAATATTTAAAAAAAAAAAAGAAATTCCTAAATAAAGGTCAACTTGACCTGAAAAACAAGGGAGGAGTTCTCCTTGGACCTGGGAGATGCATAGAGCTTAATCAACTTGCCTCCTTGCCTCGAGCTCAGCTGTATTTGAAACCATTTCAGCACCAGAGTACCCTCAGCCTCAATCACCCACAGGGTGAATCTTAGCTTTCCCTTGCTACCTACCTTCTTTCAAAAGCCATCCTGCCAAGTCTGCCATTGGTAAGGCTCTTTTCTTGCTATAAAAAGCACATGAAAATGACAGGCTGGAAAACAAACACTAGTGTTGGCCAACAGTATTACCCACTTTCTCTGAAACCACTTCAATTGCTGCCTCAGTCTCTTTCAGACCTTAAGCCTCAACCAGACTCTAGGACATCTGTCTGGCCAGACTGGTCCAATTCCACAGGCTCTGAGCGCAAAATGATTCTCGTCCAGTCCTGTTCTTGTGCTCGCAAGCCCCACTTCCTGTTGGGGGACCCAGAAACACACCCTATTTCCTCTTTTTTTGAAAAATGAAATGCTAGGGGCCTCCCTGGTGGCACAGTGGTTGAGCGCGCGAAGCTGCCTGCAGCTTCTGCACTGCTGGTTCAATCCCCGGCTGCTCCCCGGCCACCAGAGGAGGGTCCCACATGGCGCGCAGACCTCTCCTGCCGCCCGCTGCTCCCCTCAGCAGTGTACTTCGGTTCTTCTGCCTGCTCTGCTCCCCGCTCTGGCTCTGATGAATTCTCTCACCCTCCCGTGCTTCTGACTGTACCCAGTGCTTGTATAAATAAATAAATATATCTTTAAAAATATGAAAAAATGAAATGCCAGATCTTTGCATTTATCTATCATGTACGCAATCCTTCTGCCTGCCCCTAGCCCCTAACTTCTTTATATCTTTTTCTGCATTTGGTCTCCTATGAAGGTATACCAAAGTACTATCACACCTGAATCCAGTTTAACACATCCTGTTTTGCTTTCCCTATTCAAGAATTCACAAATCCTATCTGAATAACCTTTACACAAGAGTCAAATTTATAAAAGGACACCTACGATTTTATATTTAAAAACTCCTAACCACACATATTGCCTAAATTGGTTTTAATATGCCAATTTCATAACCTTCTCTATTTGAAGCAACGGCATGTTACCAACTTCTAAGAGTCTTCTTTTGAGATAATCTCTACATCATGTGTTCATTTCTTAATTTCTGTACATCTAATAGAACAGTAAACCTTAGCAGATGTAAAATTTGTGTTTCCTGTCAGAAACTCAACTTCTGTCATCTGGTAGTATGTTTGGATTTTCTTCTGGAAGAACAAGGAGTTTTAGAAAAGTTCTTTGGTTTATGCTGTAGGCTCAAACAGCCATATAGAGAGGCTAACCCTTTGTGTCTATCTCTAGCAAATAACAGTTAAATAAACCTCTCAATTTACTAGGAAACAAGTGGGGGGGCATGGATGATGCGAGAGAGGTACCAAGTTTCTACTATTTTAACTATCAGGAGCCTTATGAAATTCAGAGAACCCAAGTAGTAGAACATGGGGTTTGTGCTCCAGACCCTTTACTGATTTTATAGGTCAGTCAGCTTCCCCTAGTCTTCACTGTTCAAATTACAGTTCCCTCCTCCTCAGCCTCATGTATTTCTCAACCTTTACCCTCAGAATATCAAATTTAGAAAGGTCTTCTGAGAACATCTAATCCTGTCTTTTCTTGCCATTTTTACAGGTGAGGAAACTGAAGTCCACCAAGAGCAGGGCTTATGCAATTAGGGAGCATACCTCCCCGCATTCTAGAAAAAACTACAATGACTTGTTCTGTTTCCCTCAGCTCTGTCATGAGTCTTTTCAAGGCACTGAAATGAATGGTAACCTGCTGTAGGAGCATTTGCCACATGCATGGAAAAGGTGTGTGTTACTTGTGAACACACCTACCCTAGTTTTCACATAATGTTTCACATAATGTTTTATAGGTGGGGCTACTCACTCCTCCCTGCTGGAGTCTGTGTGTAATTTGGCCACACAGAGTTTGGCAGAGCAGTTGCTTACATCTGTCTCTGCATATGCTACCCCGGAGAACCAACTCCCCTAATCAATACTGTCTCCACACAGTCCCTTATCTATATTTTCCTCGACTTGAACAAGTTAAAATGCATTTTCCTGTGTTCATTCCTGATTAATGGGGGTCTTGGCGAGGAGGTGACTTGACTGTGTGCAGTGAGAGAGGAATGTGAGCAGAGGTTGTTGGGATGATTGGGTGAGAATTTCATACAAGTTTGTATTTACAGTAAGGATTGAACCCTTATTTTCCTCCCTTGCATACAGGAAGAAAGACCTCATTTGTAGTGACTTGGGAATAAAGAAGGTGTCAATTGTGCTTGGCTGATCTTTACAAGCAAATTATAGCCTGATTCATGAAATTACTCCTGTGGCTCATTCCCGCCAGAGTCAGTCTGCCTCCACCTCTGCATTTCAGAGCACAAATTACTTTTTGTACACATGACAAGTATTTTGCAAGGTAAGGAAGCACTTGGCTACAGAAATGACTGTTCAAGGTAAGTTTAATCATCATTTTGCTAACAGGCGCAGAAGAGGTATTGGTATCCATCCTAGGATTATAAAAATGAACAGAATCCATCCACACCCTTACTTTCAACTTAGAGGTAAAACAAGAAAGAATATCATGAAAACCACATACTCAACATGTAAATAATATGTTCAAACATGACACCCTTCAGCTGCTGGGGATGGGACAGTTTAGGGGATATGTGTGAGAGAGGGTTATGAGGGTTAGAACAGGGGCCTTGGTAAAATATTGAATGGAATGCCAGCTATGTAAACCAAGAAAAGAATACTAAGGAAGATCCTGAGAGTTTAAGGAGATAAAGGACAGCCCCTCATTTCAGAAGGTCAGGGTGAAAATGTGCACTGGCTGCCAGGTGGTCCTATTACTTACCTTGTCCAGCGCTCTGTGAGGTGCTGGGTGGGATCCACCTCTGAGCTTCTAATTTCTTTCTGTCTACTGTACTATGGGGTGGACTGGACCTAGCAGAACAGAATACTCCACATTAGACCTTCATGGATCAAATTGTTTTGAAATATTTGACACTGAAAACAGTCTCTTAAACGGATTGAATGTTCCACACTGTATTCCATACTAAAGAAGCCATTCACCTGATAAAGCACAGAAAGCAAGATTTGCCCAGCCTCATTCAGCAGTACTATGAGTTTCTTCTTGTCCTCACCATCCTGATTTGGAGCGAAGTAGAAGCAACCCATGCTCGCACCCAGACTGCGGTGCAGTGTCTGTCTTCACTAGCTCTCCCTTAGCAAGAACTCAGAGTTTGTTGTTCCCTCCTCCTGGAATGGTCCCCTCTCCCTTCTTTCAGTTCTCTGCTCTGGGAGTACTTTCTGCCTGATCACCTTCTCTAAAAGATCATCTATATTTTCTACTACCTCTCTCATGCTAGAAGTATGTAAGTTCCACAGAGCGAGAAAATGGAAATGGTTTTGTTTGCATGGTATCCACAAATGTGCTGACAAATGTCAGGCGCCCCAACTTACAGGTTGAACGATCCACACAATGAAGAGGAGGGTGCTTGCCAAGCACTTTCAATGGTGCCACCCACAGCCTCTGCCAGGGACAGAGCTTGTGTGCTGAAAACCTTGTCCCTCCTGAACAAGGGCATGCATCTTATGGCAGCCAGACAGAACAAGTAGAGCAGGCACGGTTAAAGCAGTGTCTGCTCTGCTTGACTTTCACAGATTCCCTGGTCCTCCAGGCATAACTTGAGTCATCCTGAAAAGACTTCACCCATTAAGTGGGGACACACTTTGTATGTAATTAGGACCATTAAACCGGAATTGTGATGGTAGATTAGAGGTGTGAAGGGCTCCAGGCTGGTGGTGTTTTCCATACTTGTTTTCACTGTGGTCTAGCTGCTTGGCTGGTTGGTATTAAGTTTAAAAAGTTCACGCCCATAACTGCCACTCCTGAGGCTCAGCCTCTTCTAGCATCTGAAGTGTTAAGCACATCTTCAGTTTGTGCTGCTGTGGCCAAAAAATGGCCCCCAGCCAAAATATCCATGCTTGAGGCAGAATCTGAATGCCCTGTGAAATACTTACGTACATATATACACATACATAAATATATATATATACACACACTTTAAAATTGCTGTAATGTACTGTTAATGCTCTCTTACAGGCTTACCATTCATTTACAAAAGTTTCACATCTAAGTATGTGTACCTGCTTCAGCCACCGCCAAAGTTCTAGTGACTCCACACTATCAAATTGACCCCCATCGCTGTCCTTTGGAAACTGTCAAATTTTTCACAGAGGCTAAGTTATTTGTGTTGGGTTTTGCCAATTTCTTTTCTTTATATTCTACCTATGAGTGAAACCATCAGGTAACTTTCACGTTCTACTTACTTCACTTGGCATAATCACCTCAAGTTCCACCCATGCTGACACAGAAGGCAAGATTACACCTTTTTCAATAGCTGAGTAGCATCATCTGGAATATTTTTATAACAAAGTTTCTTTTATTTTTTTTTTTTTTTAAGATTTATTTATTTATTTATACAAGCACTGGGTACAGTCAGAAGCACGGGAGGGTGAGAGAATTCACCAGAGCCAGAGCGGGGAGCAGACCAGGCAGACTGAAGAAGTACACTGCTGAGGGGAGCAGCGGGCGGCAGGAGAGGTCTGCGCGCCATGTGGGATCCTCCTCCAGTGGCCCGGGAGCAGCCGGGGATCGAACCGGCACTGCAGAGGCTGCGGGCAGCTTCGCAACCCAGCGCTCAACCACTGCGCCACCGGGGAGGCCCATAAAGTTTCTTTTAAAGGGAGTTTTGGTTTTATTTCTGTTAATAGGGCAAAAATGGAGTTCTAACTCTTGGCAACAATATCACAATCAATTGTGATATAGGCAACAATATCTATCACAAGTGTTTTGAATAAATATATTTATATATATAAATATATATAAGCTACTGTTTTGAATATATTTAGGGAAAGAAGACAAGTAAAAACACAAGAAACAACAATTTTGTTTTTACCAAGGCTTCCCTAGAAATATTTGAAATTATAATGCAGGCAATATTAAATAGGTTCAGTACTTGCCAGAAACTCAGTATCTTTAGGGCCTCCCTGATGGCTCAGTGGTTGAGCACTGCCCACAACCTCTGCAGCGCCGGTTCAATCCCTGGTCTCCGGGTGAGGGTCCCACATGGCGCTCAGACCTCTCCTGCCCCCCTCAGCTCCCCTCAGCAGTGTACTTCATTTGTCTGCCTGTTCTGCTCTCTGCTCTGGCTCTGGTGAATTCTCTCACCTTCCTGGGCTTCTGACTGTACCCAGTACTTGTATAAATAAATAAATAAATCTTTAAAAAAAAAAATTCAATATCTTTATATTGTCTTCTAGGTCCTAACTTCTCAGGCTACTAAAGCCTGCCTTTGGAGATATTGGCTGAGAAAAGCAGTTACCTTTTATCCATTCTGACTCTGTCCCCTAGAGCAAGTCTCCTACCTCATCGAAGGGGCGAACTCTCAAAAAGCTCTCTGCTTAATGTGATGCCAGTTGAGATTGAAACTTGAGTGTGACACAGTCCCATAAAAGCCTTGAAATTCCAAGAGGGGCCATGAAACATCAGCATTGGCACCTCGGGGGAGCTAGTTAGGAAATTAGTTTCAGGCTTCACTCCAGATCAATTGAATCAGAATTTGCATTTGAAAGGGATCCCCATCTGATACACCTGTGCACTAAAGTCTCATTGTAAAAAAAGGCAGGTAATTCCAACACAAAACAGCAAGAGAAGTGAGTCTATATTACCCTTACCACTGCTAACAAGCAGCAGATGCTGCTCAGTTCCACTACAGAGCACACTTACTTATTGAACTGAATGTTCCTACCTCGGAATTGGCTACCAGAGACAGCTTTTAAAGGTGAGATTCAGTTCAGTTAAAAGCACCCTTAAATCATCCCCTTGGAATTAGAGCCAGTCCTGCTGGAGATTCAGTTCTGTTCATGGAACACAGAGCTGCCTACCTGTGATTTTAAACACCACTGTTACAAAAGGAAAAGATTTCTAGTCTCTCCTCAAGTGGAAACTGGTGCTTCTAGTTTTTTCAACAATAGAAGTTTTGCATAGAAAACAGCAGGAAACTGAAAATAAAGCAATCGGGATTTAAGTGGGGCCTGTTGGCTGCTTTTAGTAAGCTTATGCTAACAGGTGCAAAGATCTGAGGGCAGGATTTCAGAAACAGTGCCAAGGCAGCCAGGAAACTAATGACTGTGTAAACTCCCTCAGGTTGTACTTGAGACAATTAAAGCTTCCTTAGGTGTACTCAAACTCTTGTTTTCTAAATTTTAATTATAAATAATACGCACACATAGGCACTTTAATAGAATGTGATTAACAGGTTCCATTTGGGACCAAGTGTTTAATCTATATTCCTCTAAGTCCAGGGTGAGGTAGCCAAGGCATAGAACAGTATAGCATTAGTCTCTTTAGTCTCCTGGCTTCTAGAAGAGAAAATCTGGAGTGATATCAACTTTTACCCCAAAAGTAAGTGGTGAAAAAGATAACTGCTATGTGCACATGGAAAAATGTAAATGTGAGTTAATCAAATTATTTCTTTCCATAAAAGTCACTAACACTGCTGCTATTTGCATAGTTCTGTGTTTATATTTTAAGAACCTCATTCAAATATAGACAGAAATATATTGGTCTCCTGAGAATTTGCATGAAAATTATACAACAGAAAAAATATGTAATCACATTAATGAAAGTTTCATGGGCATCTCAGAATATTGTTACTTGGAGGTGTTAAGACAGCTTTTGAGCCTCTATTTGCTGATTTTGACTTATTTGTTGTTGTCCCTGGTCACTGCAACACTCCACTTTCTGTATCTTCTCTAGCTAAAATAATGAGCCGATTCCTCCATTAGGGGAGCCAGGAAACAACTGTATAAAACAAAAGCCAACCCCAGCCTGAACGAGTCGTCCAAGGAGTCTAGCTTAATCACAGGAAAGCTCGCCCTCCAAACCAGTTTGCAGGAACAAGTCCTGGCTTCTGACGCCGAGCCAGGCATTTCCAGCACCCAGGTAACAGACAAGTTCGGGGGTGAACCCTGGTGGGGTGAGTCCTTATCCAGACAGGGTCGGCCCAGAGCGGGCAGGGGATGCCATCTACAGGTCAGAGTCACAGGGCAGCGAGCTGTGGTACAGCTGGGTGCTGCGCGACGATGTGCCACGGGAGCTGGCTCCCTTCTCCCCATCCAGCACATCCACCGGGTTGGTGTAGGCCTTGGGCGGAGGCCGAGGCATAGGAAAGCCGGCCTTGATCTTGCTGGTGGCCCGGTGCTCGGCGGGCCGCGGCCGGTGCTGGCCCCCGCTGTAGTACTTGATGGCGGGCGTGAGCGCGGGCTCCGGCCAGTCGACGTACACGGTGCTGATGCTACTGCGGCGCTGGGTGGAGGCGGGCGCCTTCCGGCAGCGGTGGCAGCGCTCCTCGCACCAGGGCGCCAGGCTGAGCGCCAGCGAGAAGCCGCCCAGCAGCAGCAGGCAGCTGCCCAGATAGCCCAGCACCAGGCTGTAGCCGACCTGCAGCGTGACCGGGCTGGGCGCGGCGGGCAGAACGTTGCGGTCCGCCAAGAAGTGGTTGTACCAGGAGACCGGGATGAGGTTTAAGAGGCCCGCGACGAACAGCACGAAGCCGGAGAGCCCGGCCAACACGAAGTGCGGCTCGTCCTGCCAGCACCGCACCCCGAGCGTCGCCAGCAGCAGCCCCAGGGCCGTGGTGGCCAGGGACGTGACCGTGAGTCCCCGCGCCACGAGCACGGGCTGGGCGCCGAAGTAGTCGTACTCGTCCTTCTGGCCGCACTGGCGCTCGCGGCTGCTCTGCTCGCGGCACATGTCCCACAGGCCCTGGTACAGCACCACGTCCACCGGCTGGTCGCGGAAGCCCTTCACCATTCGCCAGCCGGGCGTGAGCGTGCCGGTCAGGTTGAGCAGCAGCGCGCAGGGCGCGAGCACCATGCCCAGGGTCATCACCACCGGCGTCCGCATCCCGGCAACGCGCTCCCGCCGCCTCCTCGCGATCCCGGCCCTCTGGCGGTTGGTCCCCCGAAGTCAGCACGCGCCCCGCGGCGGGCCCGGGTCCTGCGCCCTGCGCTCGCCCTGCTTCCTCGCCAGCTGGGACCGTCGCCACCGCGCCGCTGGGCGCCAGGTCCCTCTGCGCGTGCCGGCCGCTCCGCCTCCCGCCTCCCGCCGTCCCTAATCGAAACCAGCTCGCGGGCGGGTCTGACCGAAACCGCGGCCGAGGTGCGCACGTCCAGGGGCGGCCGCGGCGGCCCAACCCGTCCAGGGTGGGAGGGGAAGCAGGGACTAGCAGGAGCCAGCCGGGCCCCCTCACGTGCCCCGGCGGCGCGGACACCCCACCCTTCGGGACTGGGCAAAGGTCGCCCCGCCCCTGGCTCCTCCGCGGGCTCGGCTGGCTGGGGGCGGGGGAGGAAAGAGGCGGCTCCGCCGGGACAGCCGCACCCCGCTCGTCGCGGCGCTGCTTCCCTGCTTCTCGGCGGACATCAGTTGCCAAAGTTTTTCCTCCAGTCGCTGCAGGTGGCCCCGCAATGTGGCCTCTGCTTCCGCTCCTAGCGGGATCGGGAGAGTCCCGAAAGGTTTGCACTCCTGAGCCGCAGCCCAGTGGGCGGCGCCCCGAGCCCGGAGCCGCCTGAGATGCGCTGGGCAGGTGTGCACCACCTGCTTGAGAAACGAGCCCCGGTTGAGAAACAGCTTTTTAATAAGCGTTGGTTGATTTGCTTAATAAAGACTCCATGCTCCGGATTAGCTTTGACTTAGAAGAATGAGGGCGAATGCGCTACTGGCTGAGGGGTTACAGATGATTTCATTTTTTCCAGCTTGTGAAAGCGTTTGAAATAGACAAAAAAGGAAGGGCTCGGTGTCGTGTCTAGCACGCTTCTGGGGTTTATCTGATGCTCTAAAGTTCTGTGGCCTTTCATTGTCTAAGAGTTATCCCTTAACAACAGTTTCCATATTTCTTACCGTAGAAGCTTGTAATTGGTTAAAATTAACGCTATTTCTAAAAAAGGTTAATTGTCGGTTTGAAATCATTTTCAATGTTCTAGTGGACAATACCAGGGATCGGAATCGCTACTTTTGTTTTTCTTTAAATTTTTTTAAAAATTAAATATACATAAAATTTACCACCACCATTTTGGCATTTAGCATATTTGCAGTTATAAAATATCAATCACCACCATCCATCTCCAGACTTTTTCATATTTCCAATATTAAACAATCACTCCCTATTCCCCTTCATTCCTTCAGCCCTGGCAACTACCATCCTACTTTCTGACTCTACGAATTTGACTACTCTAGGTCCTTCCTAAAAGTTGAATCATTCCTGATTTGTGACTAGCTTATTTCATTTAGCATGAAATACTCAAATTTTCTCCACGTTGTAGCCTGTGTCAGCTTTCTTCCTTTTGTAGGTTGCATCATACTCCATTATCTCTAGTGTGTGGTATGTATATACCTCATTTTGTGTATCCATTCATCTGTCTGGGGCTTCATCAAATTTACAGGACATACTGAATGATTGTTCAGGCCTGCTGGCTAATAAATGAATATGGTATGAAATTTGGTCTAAGGTTTCCTCTGAAACTGAGTATTAGAAGTTGCTGATATTTATTTTTTATTTTTAAAAGCAAGGTATAAGTGGTATATAATAGAAAAAAACTTATAAGTGAAGTATAATTGGCATGCTGTACACGGCACATATTAAATTTAATAAAGTTTGGCATGTATGCACCTGTGAAACCATCACCATAATCAAGAAAATGAACATAATCTTTACCCACAAAAGTTTCCTTCTGCCCTTGGTAATCTACCTATCAACTCTCCCTGCCACCCCAATGCCCAAGCAACCACTTTTGTCAGTTTAGTATTTCAGTCTAGTCTGTCAGCTTGTATTTTTAGAATTGTATATAAATGGAGTCATTACAATATAGACTGCATGTAGGAGAATATCAAGGTGTCTTCATGGCCCAGCAACTCCTTCACTTGTCTTACCCGTAAGAATTTTCCAAGGTGATCACTTTGGGAAATACAGATTCCTAGTGAATGGGGCCCCCTGGGAAGTGTGCCAAGAATTGGTGTATTTACAGGATCCCAGGGGCCTCTTACTTTTGGAAGGATGGGCATAAAACCAGTGTCACCAAGACTTTTCATCAGCAGCAGAAAGACTTCCTAAAGACTTTATGGGATCAAAATCTTCTTCCAAAAATATTTTCCTTCTCACTTAGATTCCTGTGTGGAGTGAACGAAGTCCAAGTATTATTTATCTGTGGGCAGGAAGGGAATCCTGTATGTTTACCTTCTAAATCTCCATCCTGCTACTTCTCTTTCTTCCCCATTGCCTTACCTAAATACAAGCCATTCTCTCCTTTTTCTCCTACATCTGATGCCTAATTGGTTTTCTATTCCCTTTCTCTACTTTCTTGCCCTTCAAACTGTTGTTATAAATTGTAAATCAAATCTTATGCCTGTATTAATCCTTCATAAGACCTTCCTATGGTCTAGCCCTGCTGTCCAAGCATACCCCCCTCCACCAGCCTCCTAACACCATAACCCAGGAAAACTGGGATTGTTTCTCATTCCGCCCCCCATAAGTACTGTGTTTCCTTTTGCCTCTAGACCCATGCAAGAACTCTTGGCTCTTCCTAGAGTCCTGCCTGCCACTTCCCACCTGCAACTCATCCTTCAGATCACTGCTGTTACATCATTTCTTCTGGGAGGGTTTCTCAATCCCCTGAGTTAAGTTAGCTTTTCCTTTTGTGTATATCCATAATTTCCTCTTCTACTATAATACTTGCCACAATTCCCTTTTACTTGGATCTTCTGGTTTTCTAGCTAAGTTCTCTGAGGGCAGGTACCATGTTCATCTTTGTCTGTTCTGCCCTGAAGCCCATCTTGATGCAAGGTGGGCAATAGCTACTCAACACATCCATTTGACCTCTTTCTGCCTTGTACTCTTTCACGTGCTAGTCACAGAATTCTCTTGCTGGTGATTACCTCTTCTAAAGAGATTGCTCCATCCATCTCAGTAAACAAGTCCATTTGTTTGAATGCTTGTTTTCCCTCTGCGTGCAAAACAATAGCTCCAGAAACTTATAGCCAAAAAGTGTAAGCCTGTAGGGTAACTTCCTATAGGGAGAAGAGGAAGAAAGATTGTGCTAAATAAAGCTTCTGAGTATAGACCTGGGCTCTTTGTGCTGTGGGCTTCCGAGTTCATCGCAAGGCTGAGTGTGAAACAAAGCATGAATCATAGTGTGGCAGGGATGATTACTGCTGAGATTAGTCCTTGTGTGTGTAAGCTGATCCCCTGGCCTGACAATAGCTTTCTTTTCTGAAAGAGAGGCCCTGTGGTCAGGCAAGAGGCTGTTTATGCTGCCCGGGTTTCATTTTGGTCTTTGAAATAGCTTTCAGTATGAGTATGGCATTTATTTATTTAGAAGTGTGTATGTGTGTGTGTGTAGTGGGGAGGAGATCTGGCCGCAATTTTTCTTTTTTAAAAACTACATCGCCAACCACATGAAAGTCCTAAAAGGAAAAACCAAATTCTATAATGATAATAGTGTACCCCAAATTGATGCAAAGATTCAACCCAATTTCAATAAAAATCCATATTAGGATGGAATGGGTAATTTCAAAGTTCAACAGGGAAAAATAAAGGAATCAAACATATTTAGAAACTTTGGTAGAGAAGTAATTAAAGGGCATCCACAATCTGTTAAATATAATAGACTTTTTTTCATTTTTATATTATTTCTTCTTTCAGAAGGTATCTTTAATATTGCCATGTTCACAATTGTGAGTGCTGTATATTCAGGAATATTAAGAAACATACTTTCCCTTCTTGGTGTCGCCTGCCTTCCAGAGTGTTACCAGCTCCCTCTGGCCCATTACTCACTGAACCTGTGAGCTACATGTGGAAGCTCAGCCGGCGGAGACATCATCTCACCTATGGGGGTCTCAGCCAAATGACAAACCAGTCCCTCCTCCTCTAGGCACCTCCTCCTGGTTCTAGGATGTCCTCCTAGCTTTCCTCCCATCCCTTTCCTTTCTGTCCCTTCATAGCCTTTCTTCCTGTTCATCTTCCTCAACATGATCTTTCAACATTGGCCTATGCTTATTCATTGCAAAGGAAAAACAGTAATTTTACAGGGAGAATCCTGGAAGACACCACCTCAGCTAAGTGACATTAAGTTCACATTATTGATGGAAGATGATGGGGTGGGTAGATACTAACTGACCCCTCCCCACCAGAGCCTGCCCTGAGAGGGACACAGGCTTCCCTGTTGGTCTTCTCCCCAACGTTGCATAACCTGAGTCTAATTACAAGAAAACCACACAAACTCAAATCAAAATTCAGTCTACAAAATAACTGGGGTGTCCTTGACCCAAATGGAAATGTCATGAAAGGCAGAGAAACGATGAAGCACTTTTCTAGTAATAGAAATTCAAAAGATCCAAGCAAAACCAAGCTCATAGATGTAGAGAGTGGAATGGTGGTCACAGAGTGGGAGGGGGAAGGGGTCTGGGTGAAACTGTAAAAGGGGTCAATTTTTGTGGTGAGGGATGGAAACTAGACTTTTGACAATGATCATGACATAGAGTACACAGCTGTGTAATTAGGAGGCTTACACTGAAACACACAATATTAGAAACTAGAGCCTCCCCTGGTGGCGCGGTGGTTGAGTGCTGGGCTGTGAAGCTGCCCGCCAGTTCTATACCAGGCCACTGGCTAGGGTCCCACATGGCGCGCAGACCTCTCCTGCCGCACCCGCTGCTCCCCTCAGCAGTGTACTTCATCACTCCGCCTATTCTGCTCCCCGCTCTGGCTCTGGCTCTGGTGAATTCTCTCACCCTCCCACGCTTCTGACTGTACCTAGTGCTTGTATAAATAAATAAATAAATAAATCTTAAATATATATATATATATATATTAGAAACTAGTACTACCTCAATAAAATTTATATTTAGAAAAA